GGTTTGTGTATGTACATTGAAGGAACAGGCTGTGAGAGCTGTTGGATCTGGTTTTATCTTATGTTAGTATTGTGTGTGTGTGTGTGTATACATGAAGGCGTACTATAGTCAGTATATATATATTCTAGGTCATTACTCCAACCATAAATTATCCAATAAGTTCTAAAAATAGAAGTGAAGTGAGTCATCCTGCTATATTGGGTTACAGGGCTGAGGTCGTAGGAAAGAGCAGGCTAGCAGAATCAGGTATATACATACACACATTATCAGTCCTTCAACAACACATCAGAGTTGTCTCCCTCTCAGATTAAACAGTCAGAACATGAGTGAAGATTTGCATTAGTTTGTGTGTCTGAATAAAGGAAAATCTGTCGTAATGTATGTGTCTAGATGATAGAAGATTTGTCTGCATTAGTGTGTCTAGTTGATAAAAGATAGGTCTTTGTTAGTGTGTCTAGTTGATAAAAGATTTGTCTGCATTAGTGTGTCTGGGTGATAAGAGATTTGTTGTTGTGTGTGTCTGGGTGATAAGAGATTTGTTGTTGTGGTGTGTGTCTGGGTGATAAGAGATTTGTTGTTGTGTGTGTCTGGGTGATAAGAGATTTGTTGTTGTGTGTGTCTGGGTGATAAGAGATTTGTTGTTGTGTGTGTCTGGGTGATAAGAGATTTGTTGTTGTGTGTGTCTAGGTGATAAGAGATTTGTTGTTGTGTGTGTCTGGGTGATAAGAGATTTGTTGTTGTGTGTGTCTGGGTGATAAGAGATTTGTTGTTGTGTGTGTGTCTGGGTGATAAGAGATTTGTTGTTGTGTGTGTCTGGGTGATAAGAGATTTGTTGTTGTGTGTGTCTGGGTGATAAGAGATTTGTTGTTGTGTGTGTCTGGGTGATAAGAGATTTGTTGTTGTGTGTGTCTGGGTGATAAGACATTTGTTCTCTCAATAACCACAATACTTGTAGCATGTTGGATTATTGCTAAGTTTGTTGGAATGAAAGGCAACCATTTTGGATATGGCAGGTAAAGTTTATCATCGCTATTTCTGCAAAGAAATATTCAAATGTCTGATCATTAAGGGCAAAAACAGAGAAGAGAAAGGAAACAAAAAGATTCAAATTTCAAAGAGCAAATAAAGGTTAAGCAATGGTGGGCGACAAGATCCCTGTGGGATCTCTCATGATGAAGAACTGCTTGAACAATGAATAATGAGAGGGAATCAGCATTGATCCACCTTTAGAATTATATGAATTCATCCCTGATCAAAATATGGAAAAATAACTTGAAATTCTGTGGACAGTGCTGTCTAGACTATTGACTATTTACTATTTGTGTGACTGATCAGCTGGACTAACGGTTTGATCTAGCTTGTTCAAAGTCACTGGGGAGAAAATTCTTTAAAAAAAAAAATTGGTAATTTCTTTCAACTGACCATGTGGCACAGAAGTTTGACATTTGGCTGATAGGTTTCTGTGGGATCATTGATAGTTATAATCACAATTAATACACCAAGTTTCATGTTAATATTTGTAAAATTGACTGGGTAATGGAGAGTTGAATTGTTTGCCTGTGCCACTTTTCATTGTATATGTGTATCACACTCAAGGACAGTGTCTTTAACTGTATATATTAAAATAGTTGATAAAGTAAATGACATCTAATGATATGTAATTTAAGTAATTACATCCGTGTACGATGTTTCATACACCTAAAATGACCGTTTTACGTCTGTTGTTTGTTTCCTTTGATATCAAACTCATTACATTGTACACTTACCTATCAAATTATCCTAGATTGAGTTCAATGTTGAAATCACAGGTACAAGTAATTATCTGTTAATAAACAAACCTGGTAACAACATTTCTTTCATGCATATGCTGGTTTACACAAATTGAAGCACCAACTTTTTATGTATAAACGATCATTACACTTAGTGAAATGTACTGTAGGTATGCATGTGTGTATTTGTCAGATGAGGAAAGGCATTTTGCTACACACTATTGTTTCATGTCGCGTTCATTGTTTGCAAATTTTTCCTACAAAACACTATTCCTACGTAACACCAAGCTGAATAATGGGATGAATATTGCATTTAACAAGCACTTCATGTTTAGGTGAAAATGATATTCATGTTTAAATGGAAACTGAAAAAAAGTGAAAATCGCAAAACAGACAAAACTATATAGAAGGTTAATGTCTTCAGCTGTCGCTTGTATGTAAATACAAATGTGCAGTAAACAAATGGAAGTTGAAATAACCTGAACTTGCCTTACCATTCATCAAATTCTGGTATGCCTATTACTTTTACTGGTGTCGGCCAAACGACGATACAATTCATGGCCTGAATCATCACTACTGGACATCATGTTTGCTCCTTTGAGGCTTGAACTGTTATGGTCTAATAACCAAATCTACCTCTTATTCCTTTTGTGGAGCTTGACATGCTTATTCAATCAAATATAGCCGATCTATTGTACAGAGCTTTCATATAAACTTTCAGTGGTTATTTGTTGAATTGATGATTCAAATGATCGACCAATGAGAATCGTTGATTTTCAGAAGGGAAATAACTCATGATATTTTAACATTTTACAGGTAGAAATATTGTTACCTGTACATTCAGAAAGATGATTTGACCCTTTGGGACTTAGGTCCCCAAGAAGAGGGAGTTCCAATATCTTTATAGAAAATGCTACTCTTCATTAATGCTTGAAGAGATTTCACTCATAAATGGTCTGAAACATCATGGGGTCAGGGACTGATTTATTGAACTCAGAAAGTTGATATGATTCTTGGGGACTTCAGGGCAGGGCCCCCAAACATAGAGGTACAGCAATATTTTACTTCAACCCTTTGTGTACTCATGGCACTTAAGACATCACAAAAGGCTGCTCCTTCAATCCTTTCTGACATCTTGAGATGTGGTAAACATGCCGTCTACCCATTGTTATGTATTGTGATGTCATGAAACGTTTGTGTTCTTCGCCAATTAGGCATGGCTGTACGTAAAAATTGGCGGATGAGATGTTTCTCAAACAGAAAATTGTGATCTTCATGTTTCAAGCGTATTTATTTATTTAGATAATGAAATTCTCAGAAATGGGCTGGTTTATGCAAGGTTGTTTACACTAACAACACAATGGTAGGTTAGGATTCTACTTTTGATTTCTGAGGCTTCAATAAGGAGAATAACAGAATTAAACTATTAGATATATATGATTGAGTAAAGCTTATTGTCAAAATAAAACAGGAATAACTTCTGTACGCAATGTAAAAACGAAGTTATGAATGAGTGAAAAATTCACATTAGTGTAACGATAAGCGTCTGAACAGTCATTATATACTTTGTGAATAATTGTACCATCGTTTCAATCAGATATTATATTAAAATTTGATAGAAAGTGTGGTAGATTGCCACGAGTAAACATCATAATCACCACACATTCATAGTCATCCTTTTATCGAAGCATTACAGCCATCTACTTGGAAAAGCATCAATCGTAAGAATCACCAAAACGTCACCTTTGGTCGTGAACGTTAAATTTGATTTGAATACAGAAATAGTTAAATTGCTACTCTTCCTTAGTATTGAAAGTGGAATTGAGCCAAGTTTGGTTTGAAACCTCATCAGGGTTTGGGAAGCATTTCTTGAATTCAGAAAGTTGATTTGACCCAGGGACCTAGAGGATGGGAAAGTTAGATAACATTCCTGTAAAATGCTACTCTTCATTAATGCTCGAATGGACTTAATTCAATGTTTTTCTGAAACATAAGCAGTCAATTCTTAAATTCAGAAGCATGATTAAACCCCTAGATAAATATGGACAAGTCATCAAAAGGGAATTAATGGGGATTATTTGGCTTTACAATGCTACACCTTAATGCCTGGGTAGATTTCAACAAATTTGGGGTCAGGAATCATTTCTTAGATTCAGAGAATTTATTCAACCCCTAGGTAATAGTAGAAGTTAGGTCTGATTAAAATAAATTGTGTTAAAGTTAGCTGGTACTGCTTGTGGTTAAGTCTGAGTAAAATCAATTGTGTTAAAGTTAGCTGGTACTGCTAGTGGTTAAGTCTGATTAATCAATTGTGTTAAAGTTAGCTGGTACTGCTAGTGGTTAAGTCTGATTAAAATCAATTGTGTTAAAGTTAGCTGGTACTGGTAGTGGTTAAGTCTGATTAAAATCAATTGTGTTAAAGTTAGCTGGTAGTGCTAGTGGTTAAGTCTGATTAAAATCAATTGTGTTAAAGTTAGCTGGTACTGCTAGTGGTTAAGTCTGATTAAAATCCATTGTGTTTAAGTTAGCTGGTAGTGCTAGTGGTTAAGTCTGATTAAAATCAATTGTGTTAAAGTTAGCTGGTACTGGTAGTGGTTAAGTCTGATTGAAATCAATTGTGTTAAAGTTAGCTGGTACTGCCAGTGGTTAAGTCTGATTAAAATCAATTGTGTTAAAGTTAGCTGGTACTGGTAGTGGTTAAGTCTGATTGAAATCAATTGTGTTAAAGTTAGCTGGTACTGGTAGTGGTTAAGTCTGATTAAAATCAATTGTGTTAAAGTTAGCTGGTACTGCCAGTGGTTAAGTCTAATTAATCAATTGTGTTAAAGTTAGCTGGTACTGGTAGTGGTTAAGTCTGATTGAAATCAATTGTGTTAAAGTTAGCTGGTACTGCTAGTGGTTAAGTCTGATTAATCAATTGTGTTAAAGTTAGCTGGTACTGCTAGTGGTTAAGTCTGATTAATCAATTGTGTTAAAGTTAGCTGGTACTGCTAGTGGTTAAGTCTGATTAAAATCAACTGTGTTAAAGTTAGCTGGTACTGGTAGTGGTTAAGTCTGAGTTAGTAATGATTTAATAGTTATTACAGCTACGTGGATATTTTTTAGAAGATGTTTGTAATCATCATTCTCATGAGACCTCTATAATGATTCTCTGACAATCTGTAGATTTGGTTATAAGTATTGGATCAACTGATTTATTTTTAACACTAAGATTATCTTCTTCTTTTTCAGTTTTTTAGACCGTGTACATATAGTAAAGCAATCTGATTACACACCAACTGAACAGGTAAGTTATTTCTACCTTGGACCATCTTATATTTCAGACATCAGAGACATAAAGTTTTATACATAAGTCAGGGTCTAAATTTTGTACATTCACATGGCTTGTATACACTAGATTCTAGCTTGTCAGGTCATCAAGATCTACAAGCTTAGGGCATGTGTACCCTAAACTCCAGGGTCTGTAGACACTAAATACATACAATCAGGGCCTGTAGACACTACGATCCAATAGCTCAGGGCCTGTAGACACTGGTATCCAATAGTTCAGGGCCTGTAGGCGATGAAATAAAGGTGAACACAAACATGTTTGTAAAGGTCCATAAAATTCTGGTTGGTTAAGAAAGCCACATAGACCATCATAGAAGTAAATCTTCAAACTACAAGAACATAGCATCACATTAACATTAGCTGTATTAAGTTTTGTTTCTTTACTTCCAATTGTATTTAAATGCTTTCTCAGTCCTGTAAGATTCTTAAGACTAATTGATAAATTGTCTATTAATCTAATGGTCTGTTGTTGTTATTGCTGTTTCTTGTTTAATGTTTATGTTTCTCTCTTTTTCAGGATATATTACGATGTCGAGTTTTAACATCAGGAATCTTTGAAACCAAATTTATAGTTGATAAAGTGAATTTTCAGTAAGTATGATCATTGTAGAAACATTAAGTGGAGAATTGGAGAAAGTTCTGTAGAGATATTCCATATTCTAAAACCAGCTTATACTGCAAATATATGGTGTCTGTGTTATACGGCCACTATTTGGTGTACGTGGTATACTACTACTATTTGGTGTCTGTGTTATACTGCCACTATTTGGTGTCTTTGTTATACTGCCACTATTTGGTGTATGTGGTATACTACTACTATTTGGTGTCTGTGTTATACTGCCACTATTTGGTGTCTTTGTTATACTGCCACTATTTGGTGTATGTGGTATACTACTACTATTTGGTGTCTGTGTTATACTGCCACTATTTGGTGTCTGTGTTATACTGCCACTATTTGGTGTCTTTGTTATACTGCCACTATTTGGTGTCTTTGTTATACTACCACTATTTGGTGTATGTGGTATACTACTACTATTTGGTGTCTGTGTTATACTGCCACTATTTGGTGTATGTGGCATACTACTGCTATTTGGTGTCTGTGTTATACTGCCACTATTTGGTGTCTTTGTTATACTGCCACTATTTGGTGTCTTTGTTATACTGCCACTATTTGGTGTATGTGGTATACTACTACTATTTGGTGTCTGTGTTATACTGCCACTATTTGGTGTATGTGGTATACTGCCACTATTTGGTGTATGTGGTATACTACTACTATTTGGTGTCTGTGTTATACTGCCACTATTTGGTGTATGTGGTATACTGCCACTATTTGGTGTCTGTGTTATACTGCCACTATTTGGTGTCTGTGTTATAAAGGAATTCAAAAGAATTATTTATATAGGATGACAGGATTTATGGTATACATGTATTGTCACTAGCTTACTATATTTAGTGTCATGATTTGTGTTTCATGACACTTGATAATTACCCTATAACCTTTATATATTGCTTATATCAGGTTACCATCAAGGCTGCTAGGACTCTAGCATCATGTCCAGTCAATACTGAATATTAACATACATTTGGAGTAACAATATGCACTTTTTTTTTCAGTATGTTCGATGTGGGTGGTCAGAGGGATGAGAGACGAAAGTGGATCCAGTGTTTTAATGATGTGACGGCCATCATCTTCGTCACGGCCTGCAGTAGTTATAATCTCGTCCTTCGGGAAGACCCCAGCCAAAATCGACTCAAGGAATCACTTGCACTTTTCCTAAGTATTTGGAACAACAGGTGAGATTATGGTTTCTAGACACCTCTTTATGACCGTCAGTTATTCCAGATGTCACATGACCAATGTGTGCAAGAGGTCATGGAGGTCAGAGGAGATTGATTAGATGTATGATAACAGTATGCCACCTTTTAGTTGATTGGAATATGAATTAGCCTGGATAAGGCAGCAGAATGGTCAGTTTTTTCATAAATCTCTTTTGAATATCGGAACTCTTCAACATGACCACTTGCACCAAATCCATTTTATACATAGGTTTTGTCAGTAAAATCATAGTAAATTATGCAACTTTAAATACTTGTTATGCTTTTGGGCGTTCAAAATGTATTAAAAATCCAAACAGAAAATGGCAAAAATTGTATGTTTAATTGTTGCCATCATTGTATATTTGATTATTCCAATCTCGACCTCCACAAAATTAAAGCTGTACTAAATGCAACTGCTATGCAATATTGGCTAATACTATAGTGTTTGTCCTTTGAATGAAAAGTCGGTATACTAGTGTTTTGAATGTTTTACTGCTAAAACAGTTAACAAAAATGCCAACCAGGTGAAAGTTTCGCTCACCCATATGCTTTAACAGATTGAGTAACCAACACGTAAAACAAGAGCTTGTGTGATGGCCTGTAAGCTTAAGATTGGTCAGATTTTAAGATATGTTAATATTGTTGACAATATAAATATAGACATTGAGATGAGTTCCCAATACAGAGATTTTAACAGGGAGAAGGACTCTGTAGGACGGCAGTTATCAGATGGTTGAAATGTTAACCAGATAACACTGTTAGGTGCTACCAACCAAACAATGAACTGGATTTTAGTTACCCATTCTGGCAATACAAGGTTTAACAGTGCCCCAAATCTACCTGTCAGATGAACATTATTTGTGAACATGCCTTTCCTTAGATTTGTACTGACGTTCTACTTACTCTCTTTCCATAGGTGGCTACGGACTATCTCAGTAATTCTATTTTTAAACAAGCAAGATCTACTAGCAGAGAAGGTCAAGGCAGGGAAATCGAAAATAGAGGAGTACTTTCCTGACTATAGACGCTACCAAATACCTTCAGATAGTAAGTATTTCTACCACCGATATAGATAATAAAAATCATTGTTTACATCATTACCACTGTGTACATTGTTACCACTGTGTACATCATTACCACTGTGTACATCATTACCACTGTGTACATGTACATCATTACCACTACACCATTACCACTGTGTACATGTACATCATTACCACTGTGTGCATCATTACCACTGTGTACATCATTACCACTGTGTACATTGTTACCACTGTGTACATCATTACCACTGTGTACATTGTTACCACTGTGTACATCCTTACCACTGTGTACATCGTTACCATTGTGTACATCGTTACCACTGTGTACATTGTTACCACTTTGTACATGTACATCATTACCACTACATCATTACCACTGTGTACATGTACATTGTTACCACTATGTACATTGTTACCACTGTGTACATCATTACCACTGTGTACATCGTTACCACTGTGTACATGGTTACCACTGTGTACATTGTTACCACTGTGTACATGGTTACCACTGTGTACATTGTTACCACTGTGTACATTGTTACCAGTGTATATTACTGTAGCTAATTTTCTGTCTTTTGCAGTTGTACTAGGGCCAGATGATGATCCAGAGGTGTTCAGGGCGAAGTACTTCATCAGAGATGAATTTTTGGTAAATAAATCATTTACAGGAAACCATAGATATTGATTTAATGGAATTTTATCCGTATAGATTTTAATTTAAATAACCATACTTAATTTTTTTTTAATCTGATAAAAATGCTTCAAGACTGTTAAAGAGATATTCAGTACAAGTTAGGATTTCATATAATGCTTGTGGAAAATATTCTCAATTCACCAATTAAATAAACACAGGATATTAGATTTACTTAAGTTATTTATAGATCTAGCTAGATTGATTTACAATGTTAGTGTGGCCCTGATTGTAGCTTAATTGGTTTGTGTTGTTATAAGCCGAACAGAATGAAATATTTGTGTGGATTATAAAATCAACGGAAAATAAGATCAATTAAGTAATAAAATTGTAAGCCCAGCAGGGATTTTAGTAAACAAAAACAAATTGGATCCCATCTTACTCCTTCTGTCTCCAGTCTAAAGCTTCCTTTGATTGTACTTGGGACCCTCACCACACTCTTTTCTCCAGCCTAAAGCTTCCTTTGATTGCATTGGGGACCCTCACCACACTCTTGTCTCTAGCCTAAAGCTTCCTTTGATTGTACTGGGGACCCTCACCACACTCTTGTCTCCAGCCTAAAGCTTTCTTTGATTGTATTGGGGACCCTCACCACACTCTTGTCTCCAGCCTAAAGCTTCCTTTGATTGCATTGGGGACCCTCACCACACTCTCGTCTCCAGTCTAAAGCTTCCTTTGATTGTACTTGGGACACTCACCACACTCTTGTCTCCAGTCTAAAGCTTCCTTTGATTGTACTTGGGACCCTCACCACACTCTTGTCTCCAGCCTAAAGCTTCCTTTGATTATACTTGGGACCCTCACCACACTCTTTTCTCCAGCCTAAAGCTTCCTTTGATTGCATTGGGGACCCTCACCACACTCTTGTCTCTAGCCTAAAGCTTCCTTTGATTGTACTTGGGACCCTCACCACACTCTTGTCTCCAGCCTAAAGCTTCCTTTGATTGTATTGGGGACCCTCACCACACTCTCGTCTCCAGCCTAAAGCTTCCTTTGATTGTACTTGGGACCCTCACCACACTCTTGTCTCCAGCCTAAAGCTTCCTTTGATTATACTTGGGACCCTCACCACACTCTTGTCTCCAGCCTAAAGCTTCCTTTGATTATACTTGGGACCCTCACCACACTCTTGTCTCCAGCCTAAAGCTTCCTTTGATTGCATTGGGGACCCTCACCACACTCTTGTCTCCAGCCTAAAGCTTCCTTTGATTGTATTGGGGACCCTCACCACACTCTTGTCTCCAGCCTAAAGCTTTCTTTGATTGTATTGGGGACCCTCACCACACTCTTGTCTCCAGTCTAAAGCTTCCTTTGATTGTACTTGGGACACTCACCACACTCTTGTCTCCAGCCTAAAGCTTCCTTTGATTGTATTGGGGACCCTCACCACACTCTTGTCTCCAGCCTAAAGCTTCCTTTGATTGTACTTGGGACCCTCACCACACTCTTGTCTCCAGCCTAAAGCTTCCTTTGATTGTACTTGGGACCCTCACCACACTCTTGTCTCCAGCCTAAAGCTTCCTTTGATTGTATTGGGGACCCTCACCACACTCTTGTCTCCAGCCTAAAGCTTCCTTTGATTGTATTGGGGACCCTCACCACACTCTCGTCTCCAGCCTAAAGCTTCCTTTGATTGTACTTGGGACCCTCACCACACTCTTGTCTCCAGCCTAAAGCTTCCTTTGATTGTACTTGGGACCCTCACCACACTCTTGTCTCCAGCCTAAAGCTTCCTTTGATTGTACTTGGGACCCTCACCACACTCTTGTCTCCAGCCTAAAGCTTCCTTTGATTGTATTGGGAACCCTCACCACACTCTTGTCTCCAGCCTAAAGCTTCCTTTGATTGTACTTGGGACCCTCACCACACTCTTGTCTCCAGCCTAAAGCTTCCTTTGATTGTATTGGGAACCCTCACCACACTCTCGTCTCCAGTCTAAAGCTTCCTTTGATTGTACTTGGGACCCTCACCACACTCTTGTCTCCAGTCTAAAGCTTCCTTTGATTGTATTGGGGACCCTCACCACACCCTCGTCTGCAGTCTAAAGCTTCTTTTGATTATATTGGGGACCCTCACCACACTCTTGTCTCCAGCCTAAAGCCTTCTTAGCTTCCCCGTCTCCAGCCTAAAGCTTCCTTAGGTTCCCTGTCTCCTGTCTAAAGTTTCCTCAAACAGTATAAGTGACTCTCACCTCACTCTCGCTCTGTCTGTTCTCCAGGAAAGCTGTTTGTCTGGCAGTGACTCCTGATTGTAGCAAACATTTTTAAAGCATTTCTCTTTACAGTCGCACTTCAATTTTACAATTTCCTTTTTTGTCCACAGAAAATCAGCACGGCCAGTGGAGACCGTCGCCACTACTGTTACCCTCACTTTACTTGTGCTGTTGACACAGAGAACATTCGACGGGTCTTCAACGATTGTCGGGACATCATTCAAAGGATGCACCTGCGTCAATATGAACTATTGTGATGTTGGGACACTTCCCGGGAACCCAAGGGGTCGGGATCATGTGACAAATGACAAAAGCGTGATGCATTAGTTGGCTTAAAAACATACTGGGTGAACAAGAAGACTTGCAGGAGCAAATCATTACACGCATATTCAACTGTTGATGTGCACGCATGGTGGTGTTATTGTGGTGGCCAGTCAGCTGGCAGTTTTATGTATGTGTGGGCTGACTATCTGCCTGCCTGACTGTCTGGCTGCCCATCTGCCTGCGTGCATGCCTGGCAAAGCAAGTGCTTTGGAGGTGTTTGGTGCAGGAAATGGACCAAGCATCTTCTCGACAGAGATCAGTAGACTGGTAGGGAAGATCCCTGCACAATCTACAAGGCATGGATAAATGTCTCTAACACAAGAGGTTATGTGAGTGTTTGCAAGTGTACATGTGTAAATGTTGCATAGATGTGCATGTTGTGTAGCCTAAGTAAAAATGAGATTTGAAAGGATGTGAAGAACATTTCTGAATACAGACAAAAGCAAAGAAGTATGCATTTCATTATTAAGCAGAGGATTCTTTCCATGTTGGATTTCAAAACTAATGCCCAAAGGAATGTATAGTAATTTTTCTGTGATGTGCTTTTATTTTAATCCCAATTTGTATCGCAGCATTTTCACAGAATGTGGCATAGTGTTACAAATGTGGTAGCCAGATCATGTGACTGATGAAGCTTTTTATATCAGTACACCACGTGTGGTTCTCTCGAAGTTGGCACTGTTATATTAATGTATCAATACATCATTTTGTGTGAAGACTTTCATTGGATATGCACCGTGTAAAGAGTTCTAGGAGATGTAAGAATCCTGCTAGTCTGTGGCACGGTGAGGGGTGGATTTGATTTGGAAATATTCAATTATTTTACAAAAGAAAAAAAAACAGACAAAAAAATGAGTACATATTTTTATGATCATGCATTTGATATTAGCCGCCTCGAGTACATGTTCAGGCTATTGATTCCAACAGGTCTTCCGACTCTGGACCAGTGGAGGATTTTACTTCAAGTTTTTAAAAACATTTTATTGATTATGAAAGGGAAATATTTGTATTGACATTTTGCTGAGCTCGTAAAATGTAACTGTAGGCACATCCATGTGTGAACACAGAAATTGTAACACTACAAACAGTGTTTTCAGAGAATAATATCCAACACATGGCCTTTAATTTTACTATCAGATGTAAATTTTGGAAAAGCTTTCGATGCGCTTCCATGAAACCTCACCAAACCAGGTTTTTAGATCTGGACCAGACGTCCTCCCTAAACTTTCACAGTCATTCACTCTCAGTTATTGAGATGTACATAACGACTGATCACCCATTCCATTATTCCAACTACAAACATTAAGAAGATTCAGATTTACACCATGTAGAAATGAAATCAGATTTCCTTTCAACAGAGGTCAGATTTGAGACATTTCAGCACCGTCGGTATAAACGACCGTTGATTTTGTGGTATTGTAAAAGTAACACCAATATCTACCTGGTATTGTTCCTCCTGGTTTAGTCCTACAATGATACTTCTTTGTAAGCTAAATAACATTTTAGAATATCATGTGTCTTCTACAGTACATCCGTAAACATTTCATATTTTCTTGATTAAAATCAATCTTAAAGAAAATTTTGCAGGTCAAATTGCCATAGTTGATATACAGAGGCATGAGAGATCAGGCCAAAAGAATCAAATTGACTGAAATTCTATCTATTTGGTGCGACCCTGTAATAGCAGAATTGAAAAAATGAAAATATCCATGGATAGAAAAGTTCAGATTTTGAAATTTTGTTGTTCATTTCAATATCCCTAATATATTGATCCAAAACCGGTATGGAGGGGCCAAATTTACTGCAGCTCATAAAAGAGGGAGTAGAGGTCCACTGACCAGATAGTGGGCTACTTAACCTTAAAGTGAATTTTAATTTCATTGTCTACTTGGAACTTCATAATGAGAAACTTGGGATGCATATATCTTTCAAAAAATACAGATGATTTTTTTCACTGTCATTATTGGATGTACATCATATTTAATTAATTTGAAATGGAAAGAAGGGAGCCAAAAATGTTCGTTCATAATTTTAAGGACTATCTCCAGCTTTTTATTTAATTTATTTTTTAAAAAAAGAAGTGTTTTTGAAAAGGAATTGTTCTTTGGAAAACTTTCGATTGTTTAGATAAATTATTACTATCTGATGGAATGGCAGATAGTAACACTGCACTGTTTAGCCAGCAGAATAACAGTATTAGTTTTATGAATCTGAATTCACAAAATTGTTCTCTACATTATCAAATCCATCGATATTAACCAAAAACTAAGACTGTGAATTGGGGAAAAAAATATGACTGAAAAAGTAGGTTATTTCTATGACACTGAAACCATGTTTGTGTCTTATATCACGGACACAGAAACCAGGTTTGTGTGTCTTGTATCACGGACACAGAAACCATGTATGTGTCTTGTATCACGGACGCAGAAATCATGTATGTGTCTTGTATCATAGACACAGAAACCATGTTTGTGTGTCTTGTATCACGGACACAGAAACCATGTTTGTGTGTCTTGTATTACGGACACAGAAACCATGTTTGTGTGTCTTGTATAACGGACACAGAAACCATGTATGTGTGTCTTGTATCACTGACACAGAAACCATGTATGTGTCTTGTATTACGGACACAGAAACCATGTTTGTGTGTCTTGTATCACGGACACAGAAACCATGTTTGTGTGTCTTGTATTACGGACACAGAAACCATGTTTTTTGTGTCTTGTATAACGGACACAGAAACCATGTATGTGTCTTGTATTACGGACACAGAAACCATGTTTGTGTGTCTTGTATCAATGACACAGGAACCATGTATGTGTGTCTTGTATCACTGACACAGAAACCATGTATGTGTTTTGTATCACGAACACAGAAACCATGTTTGTGTGTCTTGTATTATGGACACAGAAACCATGTATGTGTTTCTTGTATCACGGACACAGAAACCATGTATGTGTGTCTTGTATCAATGACACAGGAACCATGTATGTGTCTTGTATCAATGACACAGAAACCATGTATGTGTGTCTTGTATCACTGACACAGAAACCATGTATGTGTTTCTTGTATCACGGACACAGAAACCATGTATGTGTGTCTTGTATCACTGACACAGAAACCATGTATGTGTTTTGTATCACAGACACAGAAACCATGTATGTGTCTTGTATCACGGACACAGAAACCATGTATGTGATTAGGAAGATGACGTAGAAGCAGTAGGCTGTTGGTCTTTTAATACTATGTTATCATTACAGTTAGTCTGCTATTTTCATAGCTTAACAGCTTTTTAGCTCATCTGGTCGTAATGATTGGTGAGCTTATCCTGTGGTGTAGTCTCCATCCCCCTGCTTGTGTTTTTCTACGAATTGTCACTATCAGGAATGAACTGAGCAGATTTTTATCAAATTGTTCAAAAGCATCCTTGGGTAAATGGGACACAACTTTGTATAAAGGAGCCATTTCTTTAAAATTCTTCAGTAGGAAGCATCCTTTGGCGAAGGGGAATAAGTTTTGTACAAACAGTGAGAATAGGCTCCGTGGGACAGAAGGGATGGGCCCAATAGGGTAAATACTGTAAATTTCTCATATCCTTTTTCTTGTATAGGAATGATTGAATATTGTTATCAGAAACATCCTTGGCATCCAAAGGGAACCCAGTTTTGTATAAACATTGTGGGCAGAGAAGCAGGGCCTAATAGGAGAAATGGATTCAAATCTTCTAAATGCTTTTCATTCTGTTCTCATCAAGCATTTTCTGCTAAACCAGTTGACAAATAGAGGCTCTATTGACCTCTTTTCAATCATTTGTGGTCTTGTAAATGACTGTATGATCATGTTCGCAGACGTTTTATTGTATAAAAAGGAATCAATCTCTGGATAGGCCGTACCATGTGTTTTCTATGCATTATGTTGATAGAGGGCCTGTTGATCAAAAGATAGCAGACAGTTTACCACTCATTCGTCAAGTCAATCACTTTGCTTGCCGTTGGTTCCTACAGATTGTCACATGAGAACCTTTTCCAGATTTTAAATTATTAGACTGTCATTGGATAATAGTACAAAAAAGTGGAGATGGAGTTTACTAGTAAAAGGAGTTGTAATCCTTAACACAGTTACTTTAGTTGAGCTTCTCTTGGGTTGGAGTCTTCTTATAAGCACAAACCTAAAATCACACTAATAGAGATACTTTTTGAGACATCGTCTGTTTTATGGAAGAGAAGATTGTATGTGCTGGCTAGGTGAAAGATTTTACTTAATTGAAAATTTGAATCGATTGATGATTTTAAGGAAAATCTGTACGATCACATTGTTAACAGCTGAGGATTTATTTGCATATCAATAATTGTTTGTTATTGACTCTGATCATCACTCATCTTTCTGTTTCTGTATAAAGATTAAATAGGATTTTACATAGGTTGTAAATATAAACTGGCATAATGCTAATTGGGAAATCAACATGTACAATATTTAACACCATCCCCTGACCTCTTTGGCAGGACACACAATAGTTAGCACCATTCCTGACCTCCTTAGATAGGACACACAATACTTAGCACCATTCCCTGGCCTCCATTATCAGGACATACAATATTTAACACCATCTCCTGACCTTAGTCAGAACAAACAATATTTAACACCATCTCCTGACCTTAGTCAGAACAAACAATATTTAACACCATCTCCTGACCTTAGTAAGAACAAACAATATTTAACACCATCTCCTGACCTTAGTAAGAACAAACAATATTTAACACCATCTCCTGACCTTAGTCAGAACAAACAATATTTAACACCATCTCCTGACCTTAGTAAGAACATACAATATTTAGCACCATCTCCTGACCTTAGTCAGAACAAACAATATTTAACACCATCCCCTGACCTTAGTAAGAACAAACAATATTTAACACCATCTCCTGACCTCTTTTTGACAGGACAGACAACTTTCCCCTGACCTCTGTAGCCAAAATGTACAATATCTAGACACAATTTTAGCCAAGAGGCCATACACTGCATCTTTTTTGGATAAAGTTGAGTGATACTTTAAAACTTATCAATGCCTGAATGCTACGTTGTCAGGGTAATGTTTGGCATTTGTTATCTGTATATACTTGTGAATTTTTTTACCAATCATGTTGATTTACTTTAAACATCAGCAAAGATTCTATCAAGCTTCACTTGCTTAATAATATCATGTTATGGGAAGTTTTCAAATTGATTCTATTTGGAAAAAAAAATAGTTGAAATAAAAAAGACTTTTTGGAACATTTGTATATATTTGAAAATGACCATTGTTAAATCTAGATAATTTTGTTCATATTTATTGACGAAGTAACACTGATACACTTGTGTGATGGCACTATGGAGTCCTGACAGGTCATACTTGAGACAACAATGTGGACCCATGGTTGATCATACTTGTGATGACAGTGTGGAGCCATGATTGATCATACTTATAATGACAGTGTGGAGCCATGATTGATCATACTTGTGATGACAGTGTGGAGCCATGATTGGTCATACTTGTGATGACAATGTGGACTCCATGCCAATTACACTTGTGACAACACTATGGAGTCCTGACTGGGCACTTTAATGATAGTACTGTGGGTTTTTTTTTTTTTTTAATTCTTTTGAATCATTCATGTGAAGGAATGGTAGAACTTCAAATTTGGCCTGAAGCATCCTTGGATGAAGGGGAATCAAGTTTTGTGTAAACAGTGGGTCTCAGTCCCATGGGTAGGGAGAGACAGGGAACAGTTAGGGAAAAATAGCAAATTCTTTCAGATCCTTTATCAGAAGGAATGCAAGGATTCTGTCCCAATTTTCTAAAAACAAAGGGTCTTGACCCTCTGTGGCGAAAGAGACAGGGCCCAACAGGGGAAATCAGTCCGTATAATTGTTGTTCTGAGTGAATGCTGTCATTCTGTCCCAATTCAATCTGAAGCATGCATGGGTGAAGATGAATTAATTTTGTATAAACGGCAGGTCTCGGACCCCCTTGGCAGGAGGAGCATGGCCTTATAGGAAAAATAGAGTAAATCCTTTCAAATCCATCTGTAGAAATTATAGGATTTTGCCCATATTTGATTTTAACCATCCTTAAATGAAGGGGACTTATGAAGAAACAGTTTCCTTTTCTGGCAGAGGCAGAAATGGGGAAATGATTATATATCTCTAGAATCCTTTTTCTTTAGATTGCCCTAATGGGCCTTCTTTTTTGTGTATTCCTTTGTACTGTCTTTTGTTGTGTAGACATCTAGGATTAGTAATACATCATGATAAATACACATCTTATATTATGTCAGTCTTTGAAAATATAATATAATTATTTTTCTGTTCATATTAACAAACATTGTATGCTAAAGAATATTAGATATTGTCTTGCATCAAAAATTAGGTTTCTTTTTGCTGAGGGATTTTTTTTTCATGAAACTTTTGAAATGAACATATAGAAAACTTTCCTACCATGGTAGTGAACATTCACACATATTTCTTGCATGATCCAGCATTGAGAGAGATAAGTGTTCACTGCTTACTGTTTTCACAGTGTACAGGAGAGCATACATGTCCTGATAAGTTCAGTATCTGGTGAGTAGGGATTGTCACCATGCTGATGAAGTAAGAATTCAGATCAGGTTTTGATTACTGTGTCTAAGACCATGGATTGTCTCGCAGTTGGTTTTAAAGTTGATACTGAAGTTCAGAAGGGACAACAGAAGTGTGATTGAGTGAATGCACAAAGAGATTTAGAACTAAATGATAGTGTAATGCTATACAGGAGTGTATATAACACTGTTTAGTTTTGCGTGGTGAACAAGGGCATCTAATCATGTCGTATTGTTGGTATCTTGGTCATGTTGATGTATATTAGCAGCAGAGACATGGGGGTCGTTAAGGACTATTTGCAGCGTATACATCAACACTCAAAACAGGAAACGATGATAAATTTCTCACAAAATTTTCAATTATTAGATGGAGCTTTTTCATTACAGTGATGTATTGCTGAAAATTTGTTGTTTAAAAGTGGGTTGAAGCGAGAGGTTGACAGTACATGAGTGACTGATGTTTACATGTGAGGTTGATGAGAGGTGAAACCAGTAGATTGACATATTGCCTTTTCATATCTGGTAGTGTTTTGTACAGCTAAGAGATGCAACTATTTATTGCAAATTTTACTTCAGATTTTTTTCCCAAGAATAGTGGAGAGAGAAAGGAAGTGTGGGTGATTTTGGGTTATTTTGTTATGTTGATGCTGTTATTATTTGCATGCTTCAGATGGATGGCATTAGACAGCCTACCCAAGGTATTGATATGACCTACAATGTTTTTCTTTTTTATTTTATTTTTATTTTTTTTTTTTTTTTTTTGACACTTCTCGGACACTGTCGTTGTTTTCACCCTATTGGACAGACACTGCCAGTGTCCGCACATGGAAAGGTCATAACTCCCGAGGTCTAGGTTGATTTGAAGCTTGTAAGTAATGTAAAAATGTACACAAAAATGATAGCATGGTTAATGAATTTTTATATGTATAAATATAAATATATATATATTATAAATATTATATATCTTTTTTTTAAGCTTAATGTTGATTGTGATGTCAGAATGAAATGAACCATTGTCTTTAATTGGTCACGTATGAGCGCTGTAGTAAGCAGACACACTGTACTTGTGCATCTGCAGTTACTATATTGTATCCATTTCCACTTGCTACAGTTTGTTGATCTGTAGTGAACGCCGCACTCTGACATACATTGAACTTTGATTTTAGTTTCTGTTAATGCTATTTAATTACAAGTGATGATTCATTGAATCTTCAGTACTAATTATACCCAAGTAATAAAACAAACAAGTGTCTCAATGTAACAAGACGGGGCATCTACAGTTTCCTCTGGGAACTAGTGGTTTCCTAAGGTCACTCTTTGTGCTCTGTGGCAATGCCACATGCCAGCTTGGGGAATAAAGTACAGTCTTGAGAGTAAGAGAACTACTCACGTCTTTGTTTTCATTTATTATTGGGACCTAGGTCATAGAGCCACAGGTTAACGGAACACCATTTGTGATTGCCTTTCATCAGTTCTTAAAAAAAAAGCTGTACAAGATTTGTATGAAAATTGATGTTTATCATGAGCCTGCAAATGGTTTATTATCCCCAGCAAAATGCAATTGCAGGGATATTAAATTGAGCTTTGTCCGCCTGTACAAGGTCATCTTCTACACCAGTGGTCTGAAAATTTTTTAAGATAATTGCTCCAAACTCAACATAATTATCAAGCTAAAAATGTAATTTTGCCTTTTGCTATGAAGAAGTTCTTGATTTAAATACTATTTCTGTTACCATAGAAACAGATTGACATAATTACACATTCCAGCTTTCTGGACCAGTGTTCTGAAACCATTTAAGATAAAAACATTGTACAGTTATTCAGCTATTACTGTAGTGGTGCCTTTTGCTAAGGGGAAGTTCTCAATTTAGATGCTTTTTCTATTACCATGGAAACAGACAGAATTTTAAAAAGTATTCAAAACTTCTCCATTTTAATATATTTATTTTTTTTTTTTGCTAAAAAACAGTCCAAATCACAAAGATTTATTTTCCAGACCAGTTCTCCTAAACCCCTCGAGTTAATTATACAAAAATTGTACCGATTTTGTTAAGTCTATTTTTAAGTATTACAGTGTTTTCCCGAAATCAAACGCACAGGAAAATAACGAAATCCCTTTAAACAACTGACTGAAAATGAAATGATTACCTTTATTAAAAATGAGCACAAAATGATACTTATTGGAAATTTTAACGTCAGAACTCGATGTTATGATGATAATGTACAGTCTGATCAACGATTGATTGAAACTATAAACATACCTGGAAATGATGCGTTACATAATTATCTACATACATGTATATGATTCTAAAGTTTTACTGCAACAAGGTATTCCAGAATAAGCAAAGATTTTCCAATACCTTACTCTATTGGCCTTTTTTGTTTTTGGAGTTTTGCAAAAATAATAATCTTTATATTGCCAAAGGCAGAGTTTGAAACGACAAGTGCATCGGAAGAATACATATAAACTGCGCCTGGTTTATAACTTGATCAGCAAATGTTCCCCTATGTTGGTCCACTTTGAAGGTCTTTATTTTGATTCTCAGGTATACACTGTAGATTAGTTATCAGAGAAGAAAAACCAAGTGCGTTTTTCAGAAAACGGGAGTTAATGACGGAAAAACTGATTCTGTAGAAAAAGTTAAAACGGATAATTATGATAAACTGCAAGATATAGATAAAAAAATTGACAACATGAAGGAATCTTTCTTAGAAGTATCAAAATCCGATATAAATGACTTATAAATCATAGCGCTTAAAGGGCTAAAACTATCTTTGGAACAAAAAAATGTTTTCATGTAAAAAAAATCGGATATATCATGCCTCTTACAGAGAAAAAACGTAAAGAAAAGCTAAAGAAAAAAACTTTCCATAATGCTAAGAAAAGGCATAAAATTTTCAAAACGCAAAAAAAAACTTTACAAGAAAAGTAGAGAACTTAGGAAAGAGATCATTGTAAGTTATTGGACGAAGAGTTCTGGAACATTCTAAGCGGAACTGATAGACCAGAAAAACACAAACAAAACAAGCAAAAAACATAAACAGAGATAGCTGACTTGCCGACTGATGAATTGTATGAATATTTCAAAGATTTGAATCACATCCAAGAATGATCTCCCTTCTCGACAATCTACCTCAAAATCAGCCAAGCGTGACGATACCATTGTCTGACTTTGTGAGCGTCCTTAGTCCAAATTACGCGGCGTGATCCAGCCAAACTGAATTTCTTCTAACGAGTAATTTCAACGGATACTCTAAGTTCAGCCACATTAATTTTCCACGTTGGTTTTTCGATTTCGTCCTTAACCGAGACAAAAATTCAGAGGGGTAGAGCGATTGCGATGTTGATGGAAGGTCATCGCCAAACTGCTGTTGCACGGCAGTTCTGCGTTGTCCCATGTACAATTAAACATCCCTATACACGTTTCCATGCCACTAGGTTAGTTTTCTATGGTCCAAGGGGCGGTCGTCCGCGTGTAACGACCACAAAAGACAGGGCGATTCGATTGTCGCACTTGCGCAACAGATTCATGACTTGTGGAGGCTGCATCGCATACCGTAGGTACCCATGGCAGACCCATTAGTGCAGGAATTGCCAGGAACCGCTTGCATGGTGAGAGAATCATTGAGTGCCGACCTATGTCGGGCCACCTCTGACACCTCGGAGGCGACAAGTGCGTCTTGACTGGGTTAGCAGACATGGCCAGAGTAGGTTTAGATGCGTCGGTGGAGGCGTGTAATGTTCACCGACGAGTCGAGATTCTGTCTGTATCGCTCAGACGGAAGAAAAAGGGTATATCGCATACGCATGCGTGGTTGAACGCTATAGATTCGACGGGGCTTCTGTAATGGTGTGGGGAGGCATTTGCCATGGAGTAAAATCCCCCTTAGTTGTCCTGGTTCCGCTCGATACAGAGACCAGATCTTCCAATTACATGTCCTTCCACTTCTCAGACGTTATAACCTAATTTTCCAACAAGACAATGCTCGTCCTCTTGTTGCCAGAGTCTGTCGTGATTTTCTCACGACAAACAACGTTCAGCCTCTGAAATGGCCCCCATATAGCCCCGACATGTCTCCCATTGAGCGTCTGTGTGATTAGCTGCGAATTAATCTCGGTTGAAACAGGAAGATGGACAGGAATCCAACGACAAGATGGCGGAACGACGATGCTTCCCTATTGCCTTTTACATGCAGTTTTTGTTAAAACCAGGACAGAAATTCGTCGTTTGAATCGTTTGGATAATATCTACATATAATAAAAGTATTCAAATCTGAATTCAAACTGGTAAGAATTTGTTCAAATATTCGGAAATATACCATACTGTCACCGTAAACCGGCATTCTGTTCATTTTCACGCTAATACATGCAACTTCATCGTGATTCACAGGTAACACTTTCCATTTCAGTTTATACTGCCTTTTCTTTTTAAACTTCATTTCTTTCCTTCTAACATGTAAAAAAGAAAATTTTTTACATCGATCATATTTTGACATAAGGATCTGCTCTGGTAAGAAAGGAAATATCCAGGGAGATGAGAGTCATTGGATTTTTTAAATTGAATGAAAATATAACAAATGGAGGAGCCTAATTTAGTTTTGAGGGACTCGGGCCCTCGTCCTACCAAAGCATGATACTATATGGAATACAACGTTGTATTTTGTCTTTTTTTACTCACAGACCAGAATAAGATTTCATAAATACATTATGATCAATGTTTCTACAGAACTGACATTACATAGGTAAGTACAATGCACATCTGTTGGCCTTAAATAGAGTTCATAAACAAACCCACCTTGTGATTCATAAGTCAACATCAACATTCTTTAGTATTTACAATAAAGATCAATATGTAAATATTTCAGGTAGAAAAACGTTTAAGCAGACAAATCACGAGAAAACATTCATTCCCTCATGAATGCAACCAGGGACGTCCCTGATGCTACACATTACTGGGTTATTTTCTCTAACATTGTGAAATTTTTTAGATGACGTCATATTTAGTAACATGTTACCACTCTCTATAACAATGTTCACCTCCAAGGTGAATACTAAGGCAATGTTACCATGAGTGAGTGACATACAAGTTGTTAAGAGATAGGTATGACAAAGGGAGATAAATCATTGTCCTGTTAAACACTCTGAAATACAGGAACAGTAAAACACAAGGTCAATGTAGTTGGAACATTAATTTGTTGTTTCTAACTTGATTTTTCCTCATTTGGTTTAAATAGTCATATATACATATATATGTAGGAACTGTTTTATAAAGTGTAATCTGTAACACTGTCAACACCAGATACAAACAATGAGTACTCCCGATATGATGAAGCTCCATTTTCAGAATATACGTCCGAGAAATCAGCAGTGACAATATAGATAATGTTGAGACTTTCACAGACATTATCTCACATTGGAGTGTCGACGATCTGAAGTATGCCGCACCATCTCATCGGAAATGTTCTATGTGTCCTAGTTATAATGACATCTGTGTTAATATACCCAAGTCTGCACGCCACAATCTGGTCATCAAACATCGGCTATAGTGCTCTTCTGATGTCCTTGTTGGTCATCAAACATCGGCTATGGTGCTCTTCTGATGCCCTTGTTGGTCATCAAACATCGGCTATGGTGCTCTTCTGATGCCCTTGTTGGTCATCAAACATCGGCTATGGTGCTCTTCTGATGTCCTTGTTGGTCATCAAACATCGGCTATGGTGCTCTCCTGTTACACGTGTTGGTCGACACAATTTCATCATTAGTTATAAATGATCTCCTTAAACTCATTCACGAAGTATACACCCAAGGCAATTCTACCAAATTGCAGTTAAGGCAGCTTTCTGATTCAGCCTGTCATGCATGGACTGGCTGGTCACTAGAACAGTTCAAGATGATGAATGGCAAACATGTGTGAAACTGCACTTCTTTTAGCTTTCGGCCGGAGTTTACGTTTGTCAGATATACTCTTCTAATTTGGGGCAAAATTAAAAAGAAATTTATCATGAAATGAAGGTACTGCCTTCACAAATCTGTCTTCAACCTCCCCTCCCCCCCCCCCTCTCCCTCTCTCTCCTCTCTCTCTCCCTCTCCTCTCTCTCTTTCTCAAAGTTGTACATATTTTGAATACAATAATTGTGCCCAAATTCCTTGGCACTCCCAATATCTCAAGTGAAGAAGTCCATGCATACAACACAGCTTCCACAAAAAAAATAATGGGGGGAAAAGTCAACATCAAATTTGATGGTACATATATTTACATCAACAGAAGTAATGACCATCAATTCCAGAGGGCTTCCTATAGAGGAAGCGCATTATCGAGCATTTTGATGTTCTTAAGGGTTGATTGCAAGACAGCGACAATGTCATAACAGACAGAGGTTTTACGGTTTTAGTCATAACTGACTCGGTGCAAACAAACAATGGTCGTTTGTGCACAAAAACTAGATAGTTGGTTCAATCGTACCACGGTTGTTTAAAGAGGTGGGTGTTTTTCAGGGACCAACTACCATCCGATTACTTCATCCAAGTTATTGACAAGCTGGTCCGCATTGTTACAGCATGCTGGAACTGCTTCAGAGGACCAAAATATCAGACTGACGTAGACCGGCGAGACATCAACATGGCACTACGCATGCTTGCACGTGTGAAAGAAGACAATCTTCTTTCAAAGGAGATCCATACATGTCCCGCAGAGCAACATTAAGAGTGGAAGAAGCTGGAAACGTCTAACATTTCATTTCCTAGGTTTAATTTGGAATACCTGGAGACGGTATTTATCGGATCAAGCTGTCGCCTGGTTACATTTCTGAGCACCAAACAGAATGGGGTGACTATGAAGTCTAGGTGTACCAGCATGCAGATGATCATGTTCGAGGAATGATTCAGTGACGTCACAAGTCTCAAACCAAATATAATGTTTGAATTCAGTTTGACGTGAATGATCTTGACAATCATTTTATTATTGTTATTATTATTTTGCAATATTTTGATACATATCTACCACCATATTGTCAAACTGATCCTCATTAATTAAACAGCATATCATTTGGAAAAGTACGCCGTGTTTTTAATACTTTTTTTTCAGATAAAAAACCGAACCCTGTAACACTGATATGGTTACGACACTAAATGGATCGTAGCACAGGCCCTATGGACCTTTTGATTTTTTAAATCCTATTTCATGGGTAGTCACTCAATGTGCTACAAATACCCCCCATTTTAGTCGTAAGACAGAAACAATCCTAATGAAGTAAAGTAAGATAAATCCTGTATATTTTCCTCTCAGTCTACTGCCAAATTTATATACTTTACATGTCTGGCAAGCCGAGATACATGGTATAATTTGGTTCAGTACAGGTCATCATTGCTCCGTGAACTTGCATATTTGATAATCTATATTTCCTTATCTACTTTTGAAACAAGAATACAGTATATATACGATCAGCTGTTATACTACCTGCTTTAAAAGTATTAAATGATACTAATTCCAATGTGATCCTTTTTATGACATCTTTATTTTCAGAGGGATAAAACAGCTTGCTGTATCAGGGCACATACAATGTGTATATATGTCTACTTAACAAGGAATATGATAGCAGATTCAAAGAAAATGAAGAAAATTATTCAAAATTAGTTTAGTTTTTGTTAGTTTCAGATACTGGAACTGTGTGATCCTACACAAGATTCTGAGTATCCTTCTGAATAACTTGAATATACTACAGAGTTCAATGACACCAGTAAAAAAATAGTGTTTGCATTTGTTTGTTTAGTTTTGTTTTCACGGAACTTTCATACAACACACACGGACAATCACTAAGGCACCACTCAAACAATGATGGAGAATATTGAACAAGTGATTGTGCTGTACATTGACAAAGTGAAGAACGAGAATGACATTCCTGTAAAACATACTGCACTCCGATATCAGAGGATTTTCTCCAAAAACTCAAAGACAACACCATCATTTATTCATTCATTTATTATCATTTAATCAAAAGCTGATGTGGTAATCAATAGTTTGTTAAAGCCGGAACTCGTCTCATCTCGTGAGTCAATCACAAGGTTTAATCATTGTTCACCCAGGCCTCTGTACACGTGTTCATTTGAAACAAATAAAGTGAAGAAGGAGGGGAAGAGGGGGGGGGGGGGGGGGGGGTGCAGAAACGCGCAAAAATTGCAGATGACACATTTTGATGATTGTCGCAAAAAATGCACATGGCAAAACTATCCCGATAAACGGTATCATGTGAAGCCTAGTTTAATGTGATAAATGATGTAAGTGACACGTGTGATTTTCTGATAACCACTTCACTTAACGCTGTTAATATATGTATACCGTCTAAATCCGTACAGAGCAGAAAACGTGACAAACCCCGGAGGTATAACGTTGTCCGAAAAGGACTAGGAACTAAACATAGCTTTAAAAAGATACTGATAAAAGATAATTATCAATCTCCTGGAGGAAATATAAGCTAGCTAAAATTAAAATAACGATATGATGAAACGTGCAAAAGAGCAGTTCTGTGAAAACATAAACTCTACGATAAAATCTCATCCAAAAACATATTGGTGGTAGTTCAGGCTTACAGTCAAATAAAAATAACTTGTGATGTATATATCAACTGTTTGCTGGCAATGCTAATGAATATATCAACATAGAGCTTCTTCGTCATGAGTTTTGCCCGATTTCCAGCCATTACGAACCAGACCAAAAGAAATATATATATATATCCCTAACACAGAGAAAAAACCAAACTCGTTATTGCTTGAAATAATATCGCTCCTACCGAAGTTGTGATACTATCACTATAGTATTGAAATGTTAGATTAGATAAAGCAACTGTGCCCGATGGAATTAGTCACCGTACATTAAAATCTGTAGCGAATAAAATTGCCATTCCCTTCTTGTTCAATTATTCCTTTCTCACTTGGAATTTTTCCCAATAAATGGAAATTGTCAAATGTAATGTTAAAAGTCTGGTGACACTCACCATGTTTGAATCATAGACCAAAATCACTGTTATGTTGCGTTGGGGAAAATTATACATTTATAGTCTATAAACGTGGTTACAACTTTTTTAGCTCAAAAATCTTATCTTCAACTTTTTGTCGGGATTTTACCTAATCATTCTTAAACGCATCAACGTGTTGATATGTATCACTCTATTCTACTATCGTCAGAAATCAAAGAACATATTTTTTTTTTTTACTTTTTGGGACTTTTCGTGGGGCCTTCAACAGAAATGACTTATCCGGACTTGTGTATATCAGCATGGTATCTCAAGAACTGGTACTAATTAACTATTTTGAACGCAACTATCCATCTTTATTCGCGATTCTCACTTTTCTGTAGAAAGTGTAAATGCTGGTGTTCATTGTAAGTCAATATTTGTACTAAATGTATCAGGATGTTGCCTGTTAATATTTTTCAAATAGGTTATGTAATTAATATATATGTGTGTATATATATATATATATGATCAAATAAGTAATAACAAAAGTACGAACAAGCGAATTTACACCACCGCTCTCGATATAGATTTATTACTTTGTATTTGTTTTATGTTCTATGTATGTGATGTTATTTATGTAATATTTGTGTCTTGATTAAGGGGCAGGTTGCCTCGATAAATTTGACAATTCGCTTGTGCGTACTGAATCGATCCAGGCCGAAGGCCCTTTATAGTGGACAAAAATACATCCCAAGTTTTTGAATGCAAGATGGCGATTAAAATATCAAAACTGTTTTGCATAAATCAAAATGTAACGTCTTTCTTCTTTTGTCAAAAAATCATTTTTATTTATAATTTACTCGCATCTCGTCAAATCAAGTTTTTTTCTATATATATATATATTCATCTAGTTACAAGATTTTATCATCAAATTTTCTGTATTCTCAATTGTTACTGAATTAAGTTCTAATTTAATTATGTTTTGATATTATGATTATTTCATTATTAAATGTATTGTTGTTGACTTTGATTTACTTATTTAATAATAACTATTTATCTTAAATTACATGTGTATATAATGGGGGTAGATAGTATATATATATATATATATATATATATATATATATATGTACCCGATTGATTGTTAGTATTTGTTTATGATTAATTGTTTGGGAGGGCCGTATGGAAGGCTATAATTTTTCTAAACATGTTACCCTCTGAAAATAAAGAATAATTACTATTAAAATTATTATCAAGGCTGAAGGTTCCTCGCGCATATGCACAAGGCTGAAGGAGTGGCCTCCCCTAAGCACGGGACCCGGCTCGGAGATTGAGTGTAAACAAACGACCAGCAATCCTCGTCAGAATAAATGCAAGATTAGGCATGGATTACGCCTCATTTCTGGATGAAATTTATGTATTTACAATCAGATATATTGTTTGGAATTTCAAAATAATAAATCAAGCCGTATAAAATCTGCAATTTGCAACAAATCGGAAAATTTCACGGTTAAATGCGGCGTACATGTTTTTATCCCCTGACAAAAACAGATCGTCGATTTAAAAAAAAATCCGTGATATTTATATTAATTCATTCATAGTATCGGATATATAAAATATTTTTTGTCCTCGAGATATTGATTATTTCGTAATTTCTTGGTACGGGTTTTAGAGTCTGGACTGGGTATGGCGTACACAGAGTTCCTCTGATCGAGTTTTTAGACAGTGTTTATATTTCGTACTATTCTGAAAGAAAATAGAATTACCTCCCTCTATTTGAAACTCTCATACCGGAAATGGGCGAAAGTTTGTCTGCCTTCTCCTATCGACGTACACTGGATCACTAAAAGGTACTTTATTATGTTGATATTAGTTTGAGCACTGCTTTGTTGAATATGTAATCGGTTTAGACTTTGCACTACGTGAACTGTAGTTTTTGAAGATATTTTCAGGGCTGCTGCAAGGTACAGCGCGGTGACATGATGACTTGACAGTTGGAGGATGCACTGATGCTACTGACTAGTCAGCTGGCTTATAATTAGAAGTGCAAAAGGTTCTTGACTGCCTATCGGCGATTTTCCTTTTTGTCATTGTCGCGGATAGACAGTAAGAACTCTTCGTCAGTTTTCATTTCAATATAACTGTGTAACGTTATGAATAAATCCGTAACTGCCACAATGTCTACCTTATACCCAGGTTGAGTAAAACCACAATATAGCGAATACGCAGATCAACCTATTATACGCCCATTGGGGCAAGGGTTCATCACTGAATAGGCTAAAATCACTTAAAGCTTAACCTTTACAATGTTTTAAGCCAAATTGCATTGATTTAGTGATGAAACGTCATACAACTGAACAAATATTCTTTGCTTGTGGGAAAGAACCCGAAATAGGTGCAGCAACTGTGGACTGTTGACTGATGACGACAGTTACATCAAGTTTCTGAGCAACCAGTACACATCTTCCAGTAAAACAATTATTTACCTTGCCATAAATTAGAGTGAATTGTGATAATATACAGCAAAAGTTACTGTTTAAGCTATTTTGGCTATTTTAAGAAAAAAAATCCATGTAACCCAAGACACAAAAAAATAATCAAAGATACCTAGAAATAACTCAGATATCCTCATTTTATGTCTAATGTAACCATTAAAGGCCTTTTTATTGCAGATTTTAACATTGTTTCATGATGCATGACTGCATGACTGCATGACATGATCAAGTAAGAATCAGTATTCAGACCCAATGTTTCATGATACATGACTGCATGACACGATCATGTAAGAATCGTGTCACAGACTCAATGTTTCATGGTGCATGACTGCATGACGTGATCATATAAGAATCATTTCTCAGACCCAATGTTTCATGATGCATGACTGTATGACACAATCCTGTAAGAATCAATATTCAGACACAATGTTTCATGATGCATGACTGCATGACGTGATCATGTAAAAATTAATATTCAGACCGAATGTTTCATGATACATGACTGCATGACACGATCATGTATGAATCATGTCACAGACCTAATGTTTCATGGTGCATGACTGCATGACGTGATCATATAAGAATCAATATTCAGACCCAGTGTTTCATGATGCATGACTGCATGACGTGATCATGTAAGGATCAATATTCAGACACAATGTTTCATGATGCATGACTGCATGACATGATCATGTAAGGATCAATATTCAGACACAATGTTTCATGATACATGACTGCATGACGTGATCATGTAAGAATCAATATTCAGACCGAATATTTCATGATGCATGACTGCATGACGTGATCATATAAGGATCAATATTCAGACCCAGTGTTTCATGATGCATGACTGCATGACGTGATCATGTAAGGATCAATATTCAGACACAATGTTTCATGATGCATGACTGTATGACACAATCCTGTAAGAATCAATATTCAGACCGAATATTTCATGATGCATGACTGCATGACGTGATCATATAAGAATCATTTCTCAGACCCAATGTTTCATGATGCATGACTGTATGACACGATCCTGTAAGAATCATGTCACAGACCCAATGTTTCATGATGCATGACTGCATGACATGATCATGTAAGAATCAATATTCAGACCCAATGTTTCATGGTGCATGACTGCATGACATGATCATGTAAGAATCAATATTCAGACCCAATGTTTCATGGTGCATGACTGCATGACGTGATCATATAAGAATCATTTCTCAGACCCAATGTTTCATGATGCATGACTGTATGACACGATCCTGTAAGAATCATGTCACAGACCCAATGTTTCATGATGCATGACTGCATGACATGATCATGTAAGAATCAATATTCAGACCCAATGTTTCATGGTGCATGACTGCATGACATGATCATGTAAGAATCAATATTCAGACCGAATGTTTCATGATGAATGACTGCATGACATGATCATATAAGAATCATTTCACAGACCCAATGTTTCCTGATGCGTGACTGCATGACACAATCATGTAAGAATCATGTCACAGACCCAATGTTTCATGATGCATGACTGCATGACATGATCATGTAAGAATCAATATTCAGACCCAATGTTTCATGATACATGACTGCAGGATTTAATCATGTAAGAATCGTGTCACAGACCCAATGTTTCATGATGCGTGACTGCATGACACAATCATGTAAGAATCATGTCACAGACCCAATGTTTCATGATGCATGACTGCATGACATGATCATATAAGAATCATTTCACAGACCCAATGTTTCCTGATGCGTGACTGCATGACACAATCATGTAAGAATCATGTCACAGACCCAATGTTTCATGATGCATGACTGCATGACATGATCATGTAAGAATCAATATTCAGACCCAATGTTTCATGATACATGACTGCAGGATTTAATCATGTAAGAATCGTGTCACAGACCCAATGTTTCCTGATGCGTGACTGCATGACACAATCATGTAAGAATCATGTCACAGACCCAATGTTTCATGATGCATGACTGCATGACATGATCATGTAAGAATCAATATTCAGACCCAGTGTTTCATGATGCATGACTACATGACACGATCATATAAGAATCAATATTCAGACCCAATGTTTCATGATGCATGACTGCATGACGTGATCATATAAGGATCGTGTCACAGACCCAATGTTTGATGACTGCATGACACTATCATGTAAGAATCAATATTCAGACCGAATGTTTCATGATGCATGACTGCATGACGTGATCATGTAAAGATCAATATTCAGACACAATGTTTCATGATGCATGACTGCATGACACGATCATATAAGAATCAATATTCAGACCGAATGTTTCATGATGCATGACTGCATGACACGATCATATAAGAATCAATATTCAGACCGAATGTTTCATGATGCATGACTGCATGACATGATCATATAAGAATCATGTCACAGACCCAGTGTTTCATGATGCATGACTGCATGACATGATCATATAAGAATCATTTCACAGACCCAATGTTTCCTGATGCATGACTGCATGACACAATCATGTAAGAATCATGTCACAGACCCAATGTTTCATCTGTTTTAAGTTTTCAGACTACATTGTACTTATTGTTAAACAGATCCAAGATACTGCCATGTCCAGAAGTTGTGAGCTCATTTCCGTGGCCTGACACATCTGAATTTGAACAGAGATGCCGGCTAGGAGCTCCCCCCCACTGGTGACAGGAGTGTCGCCCAAGGAAGGACCCCCAGGCACGCGTATCACCATAAGAGGAGAGAATCTAGGATATGATAACAATGATCTTATAGGTAACTATGGTATTAATCCTGTTTTACAGTGTAACTTATGTGGTTTAAATCAGAAATTGTCCGGTACAGTTGAAGAAGATGTGTTCTTTTATACCAGGTTTTATTAAAGGGTTTTGGCCCATATTCATTTACAAATGTTCATAATCATTTCAAAGTGAAACCTACATCTGTATATAAAGTATTGTTTACGTATGACAGGAAAACATAAAGTGCTGTTTCTTAGATTATAACAGGGCTCGAATATATGTTGTTAGAGTGTATACTATCAAGTGTTGTAGCACTCAACAATCTCACAGGAAAGGTGCTTTATCCCGACCACTTACAGACACAGTTGAAACATGATTGAAATACCAGCTCACACCAGCTCATCAAGATTTTACTTGCATACTGACAACTAGCACAACTCTTGGGATTAATGAGACAAAAGACTTGTCTTACAGGGCTCTCACACCCCATTTTGGGACTGGGGCCTGGGGCCCTTAGAATTGGGAAAAATAATGGTGTTTTCCTAAGAATTGGGAAAACTTGGGGTCTTAATTGGGAAAAAAAGATACTAATTTACATTGGGAATTCGGCCCCAAATCTGGCAGATCGAGAGCCCTGTCTTACTAAAATCTGTACTGTACTGGGCCTGGGAGCTGTAAAGCATTACTTAACAATGTTTTGGTTTGCCGTGGATATATACAGTATGTGTTACTTTTGTTCCTGTAGTGGAAACAAGTACAACCTGTATGTTTAGTTATGGAGAGTTACTTTCGTGGTGTAATGTAATTCATTAATTACCACCTTTGGGTTTGTGTTATTCATTTCAATGCCATATATGGTCATGTAATGATGAGTTTCACCACTTGGTCATTGTACGTAACAAAAGTGGTTGGCTAATGAATTTGATCATTGAATCGTATTTCATCTTGCACATCTTCTCCTGATTTTGTTTTCAATGTGTATGCCAGTGTGAGGACTGACTTTCAGTAGTAAATTATAATATGCAGGAGTATATATTACACTGGGTATATATATATAGACTTTTAACCATAGACTAAGGTTACACTGTCATAATTCATAAATATCTACTTCGTACTTAGCTCTGTGCAACAGAAATATATTTTGCTGAGTTTTGAAAACTAATACTATCACTTTTACATGATTATTGTCATGTCAAGTAAATTATATTTCAATTTGGACTTTCACATGATCAAAGTTCACGACCACTAGGCCCTAGGTTACATGCCAAATATTTTGCAATTTCTTCAACATGACTAAAAAGATGTTTATATGTTTTCGATTATTCTATGGTGATCATATATATTTGAAAACGTAATTCGAAAACTGGAAGTTTGTATTTTAGTTTCATTTTTCAGTACTACCAAAGACTTCCTTTTTCTAAATCCATGATACCTCTTTAATAGGAAACAACACTGACTACGATAGAGTTAGCTTTTTATGATAAATTCTGGTGGTAAACTTTGTTTGTACGCATGGGCAAGAAAACGATTAAGAGTTTGAAAGATATATTGCTTAGAGAAAAAAAGTGTTGTTCGCAAACTACATAGATGTGATCAAGGCAGTCTTTTGTTTACATCACTGAGTAAGTACTAATAAAGTTAAGTAATTATTATGATCTCTGCAGGAGGTCTAATTACCTGTTCACGTTTTGTCATACAAACGTAAGCTTAAAGGTCTAATTGATGAACATACAGCATATCACACGGAGTATGTTTAAATACTAAAACACCTAATGCATATTTTTCTCTTATATCATGTTATATCAGTCTTCTCAATCAAGTATACACGCTATCATTCTTGTGATAATTTTGCAATTGCAAGCAAGGATTTATCAACTCGTTTTCTGTTGAAATAAAGTCTATTTTGTGTCATTGTTGATTGTATCTGAAAATTGAAGCCTCGATTGGTTTATACGTTGGCTTAAAAATGAAACTATTTAGATCTTCTTGGATTTTGATGCATATAATCAATATATATATAGATGTAAATTGAAGGAGTAAATAAAAAAAAAACACAGCTTCTAGCTGCTGGGGTTTGAATTAGGCTTACAACGTGTATTATTCCTCCTTTGTGGTTTTCAACTCCATCAATACTGGGGATTTTGGTAACAGTGATCCTTTGGTCTCTAGCCAGACACTCTACCACTAAAGAGAAATTCCCAGAGAGGTGACCTTCCAGTATTAGTAAGACTCACCAGTTTAAGCTTAAAACATTCGCTATGTATTTGAGAACTGATGATGTGCAGTACTCAAGTAACTATGAACTGATGAAATGTAATTGGTCAGTATTGGGTTAGATACTTTAGAAAAAAAATAGAATGAATAAGTTAATTGGATAACCAAGTAATTGATTGGTTGTCAGTAAGTCAGTGATAATTGGTCATTGATGTTGTCCATGGCCAGGTAGGCTGTCTTGCTGTGTGCCTTTGGCAGTATATTTCAGTGAGATAGCACTATAAATCATTATCAGTTCTGCACTATCAAAAGGAGGCAAACACAAGCTATATCCTAACTTGGCACAAACTCATTACATACATTCATTTTTACTTTACATACACCGAGAGTCCTTAAGCTGTTGATAGGACCTTAAACCAAACAAAATCATTATGACATCCTGAAATGGAACCACTTAAGTCATGTTGAAACAGATTGTTTAGCTGATCTTGTTCATGTTCCTGTCTATTGGCCAAGATGTTATCACTTTACGTATAATGACTTAATTTTAGTTGAAAAACTATAAATCTTAATGATCATGGTGTTTACAAGAACAGGGAACACCATGTTAAAATCAATAAAACATCTTGTTTTTCTCCTTCAGGATTAAAGATTTGTGGTGTTGACTGCTTGTTGTCATCGGAATGGAAATCTCCCAGTAAGATAATTGCCAGAACAGGTCCAGGGAAGGGCAAAGGAGATGTGATTGTTATCACAAAGTCTGGTGGACAGGGAAGCTGTACTGTGGGATTCAAAGGCTACTTCGTACAGATAGGTATCATACCATTTTTCTAAGTCATGACTAAGATTTTAGCTGCACAACATTGTGCTACATTTAAATACAGTAACAGTTACTCTTTTTTAACTATATATTAAAACAACCAATTAAAGTGTAGTTTGAGTGTTTTGCTTTGTATTGGTATAAAAATTTTTCATATCGTACTATAAAAGATCAAGAAAGTGTGAATGTCATAGTTAATTCTGTTTGTTGTGTCATCTGTGATGTCCCAAACTCAATGTTGTCCAAAAAGCCCTATTTTTTATCCTTCTTTTTTTTTCAACTAGCAATATGTTCAGAGCAGTGGTATTTGTGTAGTAGCATGTATTAAGAACATGATTTCTAGTTTGCAGAAAATGTCTTGATGAACAAATAGTGTCTTCTTTGTAAGCTTTAGAGTAGCTGAGGAATTTATTTTAGGCCTATTTGGTCTCTTTCATATAAAGGTCTTTATAGTCAGATGACCGTTAAGGCCTATGGGTCTCTTGTTCACCTTCATCCACTCTCAAGATCACAGGGGTAAATGTTTCAAAATCTTTATATATCTTCTTCTAAATAACAAAAATACCCAGGGTGCTGATAATAGGCCAGTAGGATGCTGGGACAAAGGGCTACTAGGTTTGTTGAAATTAATGACCTTGACCCTTTTTTGATGAGGGGAGGGGATAGGCACATTTTGGGGAAATTGAGTAAAATTCTTTTGAATTCTACTCCTTTTGTAGGAATGATTAGATTTTGCCTGCATATGGTCTGAAGCATTCTTGGGCGAAGAGGAATCAATTTTGTATAAACAGTGGGTCTCAGCCCCTTGAGGTGGGAGGGGCTAAGCCCAATAGTGGAAAAAGTGCAAATTCTGTAAAATCCTCCTCTTGTAGGAATGGTTGAATTTTGTCCAAATTTGGTCTGAAGCTTTCTTAAGTGAAGGGAAATCAATTTTATATCAAAATGTGTGTCTTTATCCTGAGGGTGTGAAGACCTGGAGGAGCTTGTCTAAATCGTAATAGACTGTGTTATTTCAAATCTCATTTTCCCTGTAGGAATGGTTGGATTTTGCCCATATTTGGTCTGAAGCATTCTTGTCAGTCATAAAAAAATAGATCCAAATTACAAATCCTTGGTATTTTGTAGGAATGGCTTGATTCTGTCCTTTTTTTACTGAAATTTGAATGGTTTTATTTAGAATACTTTTTTCTTACAGTTTTGATAAGCAATTTCAGCCAAGCAAGGCCAGATAAACAAAACAGGCCCTATGAACCTCTTGTTATTTAGTTTGTATGAAGCAATTTGAGTCAAACAAGGGCAAGTACGAGATACGGGTCCTATGGCTTATTGTTACGTATTCTGTGACAGAATAATCCAGATTTATGATGTCTTTGTTATGATATCTTGGATAGGCCCCCTCCAGGAATCTGCCATTTGGATTGAGGAATCCCAGAATGTGATGTCTAATATGCGACATGGACGTCCACAGTCACCTTTATTCTCAAAAGATGATGAAGATCCACTTGGAATTGCAGATGAAGGCAGTCAGTAAGTACAAACACTGAATTAAAACCTCAAAATTCAAAAGTGATATTTTGTCCAGCGATACATTAAAGCTGAAAATGCAAGTTAAAAATAATTCATTTTGAGATTTAAAAAAAGTTTCCATTTCCTAAACGCTTTTGAGATGCCCCCTGTGATAACGGTATCTTCCAGTCAGCGTATCTAAGGCAGTGGTCGACATTTCAGTCCAAACCTTGCTCAGAAATGGGTACAGGCATCCCAGGGTATAAAAGACTTTCAAACTTTTAAACCAGTTTTACATTTCGACACTGACCGTCCTAAGTGAAACTCACCTGTATATTGTACCATTACACGTACGTGTGACCCAAAAAGAGTGCTCTTACCTGTGGATTTTGAAGTTGGTGAAGATGATCAGCACTTCTCAGCTATCTAAAAATATATCTTAAAAATATAATGAAAATGAAAACAGGAAACTTCCTGCAGTCCATTGCATATATCCAAAAACATGTGCATGTTCACCAAACTTTGGACATGACCAATTTTTCTGTGTCACTGAAGCGTTTGAAAAATGCTGTATAACATATAGCTATTATTTGTTTATATTTTCTCAATCTTGATCGTGTAAATGCTTGACTAATTAAACCCATGCAAAGTTGTAACCTAGCTGTTGTGGATTGCCTAAAATTTGACAAATGAACTCTTTTTTCTGAGGGAAATAACTGGAAATAGTAAAGCTTACACAAGAATTTCTGCCGGTACTCTGGAAAAAGTTAGGATTTGTCTAATTCTGACTAAATCCATAGTCCCATTACTCAATGCAAACTCTTCATACTAATATATGTCAACGCTAACTTCCACTAATACACATAAAAACAGATGTGTGCTCATGGCCTCTGCCTCGTCGCAATATCCAACATGAAGGAAAATAAAATGAAACCTGTCGATTTCTTAATAGTTGAACATGTAAGTGTCTCAAAAGATAATCAAATTATAATCAACATTTACAATGGCCTAAAGAGGCCACTCTCTGATTGTTCGTTTTCTGTATGTCTGGTTTCTGTCACCTTATCAAACACTTTGTCCAGGTTTTGCACTCACTCGGATAGTTTGCATAAAGGTATATTAAGTAATTATCTTATTTATTTATTTTGTCCAGAAATAAATTGTCAAATCCTTTTTGTGTCGGTCTTGAATACCAGATAATCCTGACAAACAATGATGGTGGCCCCAGAGAATCTTTAATTTTTGCATGAAAAAATCCCATTGAAAATCCTCTAGCTATGTAATGTGCACACCCCAAACTTTGGACTTTTATTTTCTGAAGAAAAAAAACTGCACATTACGCGGGTATTTATGGAAATTGGGTAGGGATTTCTTAAAGTGGGGATTCCCCCAATTCTTAGCCATACAATCGGGAGGCGGGGCTGGGGAGTGAAAATCGCGAAACTCCTGGCTGAATCGGGAAAGTTGGCATGTATGCACTTGGATGTCTGTATATGTTTCCAAGCGAGGCTTGGACTAAAATGTTAGCCACTTTCTTAGATACAATGACCAGAATTCTTGAGGGGAATACTCCGAAGTATTCTTTAACAAAAAATCTCAACATGTAATTTTTTAATTGGCATTGTCAGTTTTAACTAAATGAATGTGATTTTGTTGCATTTATATGTGTTTCCTATGACTGTAAATAGAAAACTGCTTTAGATTTCTGATAAAATGAACTTGCTGAGAAATAATTTGCATAATTTCAGTGGACATTAACACACATAGTACTACCATTGAAAAGGTTCTCTTTATGGTACACTTGGCATCTCAGCACTGTCATAGTATTCAGGTCATATTCTGGACGACATCATCATAGTTTCCTCTCCTTGTTTCAGTGCCAAGTTTACAGAGGAGGAATTGGCAGAAATATTTCCAGAATGTAAGTCTGTACACAGAAAATTCTATACCTATATTGATAAGACTGCAGTTCTAAGCCTATGATATTCCAATCACTTATTTCAGTCAAATTTCACTTCTGGTTGACCGGCAAAATGTTACCTTAAGCCACATATGTGTAGACTTACATTGTAGTGCATGCTTTCATTGTGTTACAAGAAAGGCTAAAGAAAAGTATCATGCCCTCTAGTCTTAATCAGATCACCAGTGTTAGTTTAATGTATAACCTATATATAACAATTCCTTTGTTGTATTATGTTTTTCATACTTTGGTTTTGTGGAAATGTCTTTTACTAGGGTAAAAATTGATAAATAACATTATTTTGTTAAGACAAATAATCAATTTACAAATTGTGAAGAAATGATGAAGATTGAAATCTAAGGTGACTTGATCAACATTACACACAAATTATATGTTGACAGCATCAGGAAACATGTCCTTGGAGAACTTCTCGTCCTCCTGGTATTTACTGGAGAACCACCACAACACTGGGTAAAGATCTCTTTTCTACACCTTACTTTGTCCAAGAATGGGTCCACTTAGTGCCAGTGATGGGAGAAATCTGTCCATGTTTAACACTTGTATGAACTGTTTGATTTTAATTGTATACTGCTGTTTCTTATTTGGTAAAATATGGCACAAAGCGTTTAAAGTATTTCAGATTATCTATTGGTACACAAGACAGACAGTAGGGGTAGTTGACAAGATAACCAGACACAAGACAGACAGGAGTGATAGATAAGATAACCAGACACAAGACAGACAGGAATGATAGATAAGATAACCAGACACAAGACAGACAGTAGGGGTAGTTGACAAGATAACCAGACACAAGACAGACAGTAGGGGTAGTTGACAAGATAACCAGACACAAGACAGACAGGAGTGATAGATAAGATAACCAGACACAAGACAGACAGGAATGATAGATAAGATAACCAGACACAAGACAGACAGTAGGGGTAGTTGACAAGATAACCAGACACAAGACAGACAGTAGGGGTAGTTGACAAGATAACCAGACACAAGACAGACAGGAATAATAGATAAGATAACCAGACACAAGACAGACAGGAGTGATAGATAAGATAACCAGACACAAGACAGACAGGAATGATAGATAAGATAACCAGACACAAGACAGACAGGAGTGATAGATAAGATAACCAGACACAAGACAGACAGGAATGATAGATAAGATTACCAGACACAAGACAGACAGGAGTGATAGATAAGATAACCAGACACAGGACAGACAGTAGGGGTAGTTGACAAAATAACAGACAGAAGACAGACAGGAATGATAGATAAGATAACAAGACACAAGACAGACAGGAGTGATAGATTACAAGATAGCCAGACACTAGATAGACAGCAGTGGTAGATTGTGTACCAGGGGACATAATTAGACACAAGATGGACAACAGTGGTAGATTGTGTACCAGGGGAGATAACCAGACACAAGACGGACAGCAGTGGTAGATTGTGTACCAGGGGAGATAACCAGACACAAGACGGACAGCAGTAGGAATAGATAAGATAAGATAAGACAGGAGTGATAGACAAGATAACCAGACACATGATTAGCACTGATATTAACTAATACTGTCACTGTTGCTGAAGTAAATAACTTTATTTTGATAAGGAAGAAGCAATGATTACACATCCTGGTAGCTACTGTAATAAAGTTATATAAATCTTTATGTACAGTTTTGAGGACCTGAAGGCTGGGTTGGCCCATATGAAGAGACGAGCTACTCAGCGGTCAGAAGGTCCCATCGCTTTTGTCAAGTCCAACCTGTCTTCCACCCTCGACTGTCTCGACAGCTTGGAAGGTTTGTTGTCATGATGATATATTCCAGTCCCCAATCTTTTTCTTATCGCACTCAGAGGTACCAATTTTGTGAAATCACATGCACCAACATATTTTACTTAAGCAGAATTGTTTTGCCAGTAGGTGTCAAAACAGGCGTACAGCATTTAAAAGCTTGTCATATATTTTCCTTTAAAGAGCAAGATATTAATAAAAAATAACTATTCTTGATGAATATTTGCTAAGTATTGTTATGCAGAAAATCTCTCAAAGTGACATTCCTTCCTTCAAGGGCAGTAATATGGTACACTATAATTTTTCAGAACATATTTGTCTACATAAGGGTCATTCAAATACATGTGCCTGATAGTGATTAAATAAGCCTGATACTGATTAAATGAGTCTGATAGTGATTAAATAAGTCTGATAGTGATTAAATACGCCTGAAGTCTGATAGTGATTAAATAAGTCTGATAGTGATTAAATAAGTCTGATAGTGATTAAATACGTCTGATAGTGATTAAATACGTCTGATAGTGATTAAATAAGCCTGATACTGATTAAATACGTCTGATAATGATTAAATAAGTCTGATAGTGATTAAATAAGTCTGATAATGGTTAAATAAGTCTGATAGTGATTAAATAAGTCTGATAGTGATTAAATAAGTCTGATAATGGTTAAATAAGTCTGATAGTGATTAAATACGTCTGATAGTGATTAAATAAGTCTGATAGTGATTAAAAAATAAGTCTGATAGTGATTAAATACGTCTGATAGTGATTAAATACGTCTGATAGTGTTTAAATAAGCCTGATACTGATTAAATACGTCTGATAATGATTAAATAAGTCTGATAGTGATTAAATAAGTCTGATAATGATTAAATAAGTCTGATAGTGATTAAATAAGTCTGATAATGATTAAATAAGTCTGATAGTGATTAAATGAGTCTGATAGTGATTAAATACGCCTGAAGTCTGATAGTGATTAAATAAGTCTGATAGTGATTAAATAAGTCTGATAGTGATTAAATACGTCTGATAGTGATTAAATACGTCTGATAGTGATTAAATACGTCTGATAGTGATTAAATACGCCTGATACTGATTAAATACGTCTGATAGTGATTAAATAAGCCTGATACTGATTAAATACGTCTGATAATGATTAAATAAGTCTGATAGTGATTAAATAAGTCTGATAGTGATTAAATAAGTCTGAAGTATAGTGATTAAATAAGTCTGATATAGTGATTAAATAAGTTTGATAGTGATTAAATAAGTCTGATATAGTGATTAAATAAGTTTGATAGTGATTAAATAAGTCTGATAGTGATTAAATAAGTCTGATAGTGATTAAATACGTCTGATAGTGATTAAATACGTCTGATAGTGATTAAATACGTCTGATAGTGATTAAATAAGCCTGATACTGATTAAATACGTCTGATAATGATTAAATAAGTCTGATAGTGATTAAATAAGTCTGATAATGATTAAATAAGTCTGATAGTGATTAAATAAGTCTGATAATGATTAAATAAGTCTGATAGTGATTAAATGAGTCTGATAGTGATTAAATACGCCTGAAGTCTGATAGTGATTAAATAAGTCTGATAGTGATTAAATAAGTCTGATAGTGATTAAATACGTCTGATAGTGATTAAATACGTCTGATAGTGATTAAATACGTCTGATAGTGATTAAATAAGCCTGATACTGATTAAATACGTCTGATAGTGATTAAATAAGCCTGATACTGATTAAATACGTCTGATAATGATTAAATAAGTCTGATAGTGATTAAATAAGTCTGATAGTGATTAAATAAGTCTGAAGTCTGATAGTGATTAAATAAGTTTGATAGTGATTAAATAAGTCTGAAGTCTGATAGTGATTAAATAAGTTTGATAGTGATTAAATAAGTCTGATAGTGATTAAATAAGTCTGAAGTCTGATAATGATTAAATAAGTCTGATACTGATTAAATAAGTCTGATAGTGATTAAATACGTCTGATAGTGATTAAATAAGTCTGATAGTGATTAAATGAGTCTGAAGTCTGATAGTGATTAAATAAGTTTGATAGTGATTAAATGAGTCTGATAGTGATTAAATAAGTCTGAAGTCTGATAGTGATTAAATAAGTCTGATAGTGATTAAATAAGTCTGAAGTCTGATAGTGATTAAATAAGTTTGATAGTGATTAAATGAGTCTGATAGTGATTAAATAAGTCTGAAGTCTGATAATGATTAAATAAGTCTGATAATGATTAAATAAGTCTGATACTGATTAAATAAGTCTGATAATGATTAAATAAGTCTGATACTGATTAAATGAGTCTGATAGTGATTAAATAAGTCTGAAGTCTGATAATGATTAAATAAGTCTGATAGTGATTAAATAAGTCTGATAGTGATTAAATACGTCTGATAGTGATTAAATACGTCAGATAGTGATTAAATAAGTCTGATAGTGATTAAATAAGTCTGATAGTGATTAAATAAGTCTGATAGTGATTAAATAAGTCTGATAGTGATTAAATAAGTCTGATAATGGTTAAATAAGTCTGATAGTGATTAAATAAGTCTGATAGTGATTAAATAAGTCTGATAGTGATTAAATAAGTCTGATAATGGTTAAATAATAGTGATTAAATAAGTCTGATAGTGATTAAATAAGCCTCTGATAAATGTGATTATTAATAAGTCTGATAGTGATAATGATTAAATAAGTCTGATAGTGATTAAATAAGTCTGATACTGATTAAATGAGTCTGATAGTGATTAAATAAGTCTGATACTGATTAAATGAGTCTGATAGTGATTAAATAAGTCTGAAGTAGATTAAATAAGTCTGATAGTGATTAAATAAGTCTGATAGTGATTAAATACGTCTGATAGTGATTAAATACGTCAGTCTGATAGTGATTAAATAAGTCTGATACTGATTAAATAAGTCTGATAGTGATTAAATGAGTCTGATAGTGATTAAATAAGTCTGAAGTCTGATAATGATTAAATAAGTCTGATAGTGATTAAATAAGTCTGATAGTGATTAAATACGTCTGATAGTGATTAAATACGTCTGAAGTCTGATAGTGATTAAATAAGTTTGATAGTGATTAAATGAGTCTGATAGTGATTAAATAAGTCTGAAGTCTGATAATGATTAAATAAGTCTGATAGTGATTAAATAAGTCTGATAGTGATTAAATAAGTCTGATAGTGATTAAATACGTCTGATAGTGATTAAATAAGTCTGATAGTGATTAAATACTTTGTTTAATTGGAATCCATTTTGTATCAGTTCTGTAAAAATCTGCTCCTCCTGTAGAAATGATTGGATTTTGACAAAATTCTGTCTGAATTGGTTTGGTGAGGGGAATCAATTTTGTATAAATGGTGGATCTTGGTCCCTTGGCCCCAATAGGGGAAATGTGTTATATTTTTGAAACAGTTGAAATCCCCACCCCATTACCATATACAGAAATGATGGGCATCAAGAGATAAACACATTTATGATGTAAGAACTAGGTGTTGGTAAATAGCGGAAATTTAGCAATTTCTATAAAATCCTTCTTATGTTGGAACTTAAGACATCCTTGGTAAAGAGAACTTAGTCTTTTACAACTAATCCCCTATGGGAGGAGGGGCAAATCTAATACAAGTAAACAGATAGTGTTTTAGATACTTTTTCCTTAGTTAAAATAAATCAATTTCTGCAAACTGGATATTAAATCTGAAGTCACAAGACCCAGTGCTGACTCCGCATACTTATATGTGAATGCTGACTTCCGCCAACACAAGCAGACAAGCCACATGGCTTCTGTGTTGTGCTATCCAAGTTGAACTAGAATAGAATGACTCCTGTCAGTTCTTAGCAGTCTAAAATGTAAGCATTTCAGAAGGTAGTCATATAAAATATTTTTCAATGTCCCACACAGGCCACTGCCTTTACTGATCAGTAATTGGGTTGGAGGGCTACCAAGTGTTAAAATAAATTACCTTGGCTCACTTTCAAGGTCATAGAGGTCAAATGTGTTGAAAATTGTAATGACAATGACTTGTAGTTTTTTTTAAACTTCGGTTAAATAAGTTTTCAGATTTGATGACAAATTACATACTTACAACTGCTGTACCAGAAGTGTTGGCTAAGATGATCTTACAACTGCTGTACCAGGAGTTTTGGCTAAGATGATGTGGTACAACTGCTGTACCAGGAGTTTTGGCTAAGATGATGTGGTACAACTGCTGTACCAGGAGTTTTGGCTAAGATGATGTGGTACAACTGCTGTACCAGGAGTTTTGGCTAAGATGATCTTACAACTGCTGTACCAGGAGTTTTGGCTAAGATGATGTGGTACAACTGCTGTACCACAAGTTTTGGCTAAGATGATGTGGTACAACTGCTGTACCACAAGTTTTGGCTAAGATGATGTGGTACAACTGCTGTACCACAAGTTTTGGCTAAGATGATGTGGTACAACTGCTGTACCAGGAGTTTTGGCTAAGATGATGTGGTACAACTGCTGTACCAGAAGTTTTGGCTAAGATGATGTGGTACAACTGCTGTACCACAAGTGTTGGCTAAGATGATGTGGTACAACTGCTGTACCACAAGTTTTGGCTAAGATGATGTGGTACAACTGCTGTACCAGGAGTTTTGGCTAAGATGATGTGGTACAACTGCTGTACCAGGAGTTTTGGCTAAGATGATGTGGTACAACTGCTGTACCAGGAGTTTTGGCTAAGATGATGTGGTACAACTGCTGTACCAGGAGTTTTGGCTAAGATGATGTGGTACAACTGCTGTACCAGGAGTTTTGGCTAAGATGATGTGGTACAACTGCTGTACCACAAGTTTTGGCTAAGATGATGTGGTTTTTGTTTCTTTTGACAGCTATGTATGAAAAGTACTGTAGTGATGATATTCGGGGTCAGTCCATCAACTCGTACGCTGTGTTACTCATGCGTAAGTACTATTTCAGGTGTAAGATAAAGATTCTGAAAATGCTTCACTCTAGACCTCACAACCAGTTCTGGAAGTAGAAATATTTTTACTGCAGCTGAGAAATTTTAAGATACCAAGGTTGGCTGTACTTTATTTCTTCTTCACAATGCTAAACAGTGTAGATGCATTTGTTTTTAAATTGAATGAAATGTATCTTCAACAGAATTTTATTCCCAACTGCTCCTAACATTATGTGCTATCCTATTTGGGGGAAATATTGTTTTTCTTTGTGATGTATATGCTGTAGTAAACATGAAATTTTAATAAATAATACTTCTGTGATGTTACAGAGGCAAAATCCTGTGCAGATGGCCTCTTCCAGGAAGTACTTGGGAGGAAAGATAAAGCTGACTCTACCAGAAATGCTTTGAGTGTTCTCCAGCGCTTTCGGTTTCTCTTCTATCTTCCTCTCCATATAGAGAGGAACATCCAGAAGGTGAGCAAAATAGAAGATGATGTTGTGTTTGATAAGGACAGAATATCTGTAGGAGACAGGGAAAATATATGTGTTGGAGACAAGGAAAGGAGGTTTGTAACAGATTACGGGAAAATTAATGTAGGAGACAGGGAAAGATATGTGTGGGAGGCAAGGAAAGGAGGTTTGTAACAGACTGAGGAAATTCAATGTAGGAGACCGGGAAAATATATGTGTGGGAGGCAAGGAAAGGAGGTTTGTAACCGACTGGGGAAATTTAATGTAGGAGACAAGGAAAGGAGGTTTGTAACAGACTGGGGAAATTTAATGTAGGAGACGAGGAAAAATGATCTGTTATAGCAAATGGTAAGAGAGGGTAAATAATATTTACAGGAAAGTAGTAAAATTACAATGTTGAGAAGCTTTATTATAGCGATGATTCCAGTATGAGTTGTACATTATAGGGAGATTATAACCTAGTCATCAACGATTATGTACGAGCCCGGTCATTATTTGCCGATACCCAAGTTCAAGTCTTCAGAAAAGGTAAGCCTCATTACACTTTCAACTAGATCAGTAGTTATAAACATGTTTTGTTATAACCTGGAATCATTGAAGGTATATGATATGGTGGAGAAGGTGGAGGGAAAGATAATATGATATGATGGGAGGTGGTGGAGAACGTGGAGGTGAAAGATAATATGATATGATGGGAGGTGGTGGAGAAGGTGGAGGGAAAGATAATATGATATGATGGGAGGTGGTGGAGAAGGTGGAGGGAAAGATAATATGATATGATGGGAGGTGGTGGAGAAGGTGGAGGTGAAAGATAATATGATATGATGGGAGGTGGTGGAGAAGGTGAAGGGAAAGATAATATGATATGATGGGAGGTGGTGGAGAAGGTGGAGGGAAAGATAACTATCGTTGTTAAGATTTGTTTCTCTAAATCCATATTGTAAAATTCAATCGACAAAGGAATTACATTGTAGAAACATTATACATTCTGTGTACTTTATTCAACTTAATTACATGGACTATGTGTGTGATGGGAATATCAAAGTGCTGAGTTTAATGATGAACTATTTTTATCCAGTTTATACAGAAGTGGAGTCAAGGGTGAACTCTTTCCGTGAAATGTTACAGAACAAGTTATATGAACTTCCCAACACACTGGAGGAGCAGAAGAAACTAATACGGTCAGTGTTCCTCTTCTCTGGTGTTCATGGTGGTAATTTGTTAAAACTTTCAAACTGCATTATCTGACTTACCAAAAGGCTCAGAAGCATGGTATTTATCTGATAGGCTCCTAGGATGAAGCTGTACAAAATTTGCAAAAAGAAATGACCTTCAACCTTATTAAAGGTCACATTGATTAAATTTGTTATTACATTGAAGTTTTCCGATTAACTCAAAGGTAAAGAAGCGTTGTATTTGGCTGACAGGTTCCTAAGATGGACCCCAACAAAGTTTGTGAAAAGAAATGATTTTGGCCCTTCTTTAAGGTCACAGGGGTCAAATTTGTTAAAAACTAAAAACAACTTCTTATTTACAAACCAAAAGACACAAAAGCGTGGTATTTGGTTGGTAGTGTCTTGATGAAGCCCAACAAAGTTCATTCAAGGTCATTGTGGTCAAATCGTCAAAACATGGCAAAGACTTCTAGTAAACCAAATATTTGAGAAGCAGGATATTTAGTATTTGGTATATTTCTAATTCAAAGCCTTTTTTTTTTGGAGAAAAAAAGAAATGACATTTTCTTAAAATCTGAATCATAACTATCACTGTTTAGAGTCCAGTCTTAATATTTCTGTTCTCTCTTTGATGAACATTGAATACCAGATGCTGGCCCTTTGGGCCTCTTGTTCTGTATGAAGAATTTGAAATTGTTTTACCACTGATATCTATCAAAAAAGTTTCGGACAGTACTTCTCTTCAATCTTATATTGTCAATATCATAAACTGGAATAACATATTTCACTTTCCTTGTGGAATTGTTAATTAGATTCTGTCTCGTGGAGCAAAGAATAAATTGAATTTCCTTTTCCTTTTCTACAATCATTCAGCTGTTAAGAAATAGTTGGTAATGAATGGTTTTGTATTCTGGCTCAATACTAGATTCGGGTTAAGTTATTTTACGGTTTACAGATATAAAGTAAAGATCTAAACATGCTTACTTATGAGTATTTCTCATTTTACATGTATATGTTCTAGCTTCTGAGTAAGGTCTCTATATACATATCTATCATACTGTCTACATCAACCCCAACACTGCCACCCCATCAAAGTCAAATTCGTTGTTGTTATTCGTTGATTACTTAACAGTTGCCATGTCTTTAATACCCATGACTTGTTCTGTATGCAGATACCTGAACAACCTGGAGTGTCCAGGTGAGCCAGCCTGGGAATGTCTCATCAATCAACAGAAATGGCTTCTCACCATTCTACACATGTGTAAGGATAGGCATATTGAGGAAGGTAGGTATGGTTATGTATGCATATAATGATAGGGGTGTGGTTATTTACGGATATGATGAAGGGGTGTGGTTATTTACGGATATAATGAAGGGGTATGATTATGTACGGATATTATGATGGGGGGTGTGGCTAAGTATGTATATCATGATGGGGGTGTGGTTAAATATGTATATCATGATGGGGGGTGTGGTTAAGTATGTATATCATGATTGGGGTGTGGTTAAGTATGTATATCATGATTGGGGTGTGGTTAAGTATGTATATCATGATCGGGGTGTGGTAAAATATGCATATCATGATGGGGTTGTGGTTAAATATGTATATCATGATCGGGGGTGTGGTTATGAACAGATATCATGATGGGTTTGTGGTTAAGTGTGCATATCATCAAGGGGGTGTGGTTATGTATGTATATCATGATGTGGGTTTGGTTAAATATGGACAACAGAAAATTACTAAGGTTAACAAAATGTTCTTGCCTCATTAGTTATAAAATTACTTGAACTCAAAACTGTACAGAATGTTTATATAACTGTAAACTCTGGGCTTGTTCTGTTATAGAAATGAGGAATATACAGAATGACCCAGGAAACCTCCTCCATAGTCCAGGTAAGTCTGATGTCCCAGACATCCATAGTCCAGGTAAGTCTGATGTCCTAAGAAACCTCCTCCATAGTCCAGGTAAGTCTGATGTCCCAGGAAACCTCTTCCATAGTCCAGGTAAGTCTGATGTCCCAGGAAACCTCTTCCATAGTCCAGGTAAGTCTGATGTCCCAGGAACTTCTGTAGTCCAGGTAAGTCTGATGTCCCAGGAACTTCTGTAGTCCAGGTAAGTCTGATGTCCCAGGAACTTCTGTAGTTTAGGTAAGTTTGATGTCCCAGGAACTTCTGTAGTCCAGGTAAGTCTGATGTCACAGGAACTTCTGTAGTCCAGGTAAGTCTGATGTCCCAGGAACTTCTGTAGTTTAGGTAAGTTTGATGTCCCAGGAACTCCTGTAGTTTAGGTAAGTCTGATGTCCCAGGAACTTCTGTAGTCCAGGTAAGTCTGATGTCACAGGAACTTCTGTAGTCCAGGTAAGTCTGATGTCCCAGGACTTCTGTAGTTTAGGTAAGTCTGATGTCCCAGGAACTTCTGTAGTTTAGGTAAGTCTGATGTCCCAGGAACTTCTGTAGTCCAGGTAAGTCTGATGTCACAGGAACTTCTGTAGTCCAGGTAAGTCTGATGTCCCAGGAACTTCTGTAGTTTAGGTAAGTCTGATGTCCCAGGAACTTCTGTAGTTTAGGTAAGTCTGATGTCCCAGGAACTTCTGTAGTCCAGGTAAGTCTGATGTCCCAGGAACTCTGTAGTTTAGGTAAGTCTGATGTCCCAGGAACTTCTGTAGTCCAGGTAAGTCTGATGTCCCAGGAACTTCTGTAGTCCAGGTAAGTCTGATGTCCCAGGAACTTCTGTAGTCCAGGTAAGTCTGATGTCCCAGGAACTTCTGTAGTCCAGGTAAGTCTGATGTCCCAGGAACTCCTGTAGTTTAGGTAAGTCTGATGTCCCAGGAACTTCTGTAGTCCAGGTAAGTCTGATGTCCCAGGTACTTCTGTAGTCCAGGTAAGTCTGATGTCCCAGGAACTCCTGTAGTTTAGGTAAGTCTGATGTCCCAGGAACTCCTGTAGTTTAGGTAAGTCTGATGTCCCAGGAACTTCTGTAGTTTAGGTAAGTTTGATGTCCCAGGAACTTCTGTAGTTTAGGTAAGTCTGATGTCCCAGGAACTCCTGTAGTTTAGGTAAGTCTGATGTCCCAGGAACTCCTGTAGTTTAGGTAAGTCTGGTGTCCCAGGAACTTCTGTAGTCCAGGTAAGTCTGATGTCCCAGGAACTCCTGTAGTTTAGGTAAGTTTGATTTCCCAGGAACTCCTGTAGTCCAGGTAAGTCTGGTGTCCCAGGAACTTCTGTAGTCCAGGTAAGTCTGATGTCCCAGGAACGTCTGCAGTCTGTCATTAATCAAGATGTCAGGCATACATTTAAGGTATTGGAGGTCAACAGAAAATTGTGGATAGAAAGGAGTAATAAAAATATCACTTTTGAGTTTAAGGCAGAATAATCCACGAATCATGTGTATGATTAATGAAAATATCACTTTTGAGTGAAGACGGTATAATCCATGTATCATGTATATGATTGGTTCCTCTACTTTGCAGGCTACAACAAATTCCGTACCCCACAGAAAGTGTCCTTTATAGAGGAGTTAACAGAGCTGGTTACAGACAATTTCCCTGATCTCTGGAAATTGGGACAGGCATTCTTCTCCGGGTCTCTATTCACAAAAGAGGTGGATAATGATTATCATCAAGTTTAAATTAGATTGTTTATTTAACAAAGTGCCTGATTATCCAGAACACTCTATCAGCAAATTGTTGCTTCAGGATGAAGTTTCTGTAGATTGAAGTTATTTGAAATACTTTTGGTTACTAATTAAATTAAGTACATTGTAGTTCTATAGTGTTCAAAGTGTTTCATTGCAATATGATTTATTTAAACTTCATCAATATACAAGTTGTTGTTTTTTTCCAGTCTGGTGAAAAAACCTTTAAAGTAGATGCAGTAAAGCATAGCAAATTTAAGGTACGTTTATGTGAGGGAAAAAATGTTGTTAACCGTTAACTTTTTAGATTTGACTGTGAATTATCAAAAAAGTCAGTAAAGGAATAAGTTTCGTAATCTTGAGAGGAAAAAAAAGAAAAAGTTTTGGTAACATCCAGAAAGTATGACTGACCACTAAGATATACAAATGTTACTCTGAAGGGCAAGTATGACTGACCACTATAATATACACATGTAACTCTGAAGGGCAAGTATGACTGACCACTATAATATACACATGTAACTCTGAAGGGCAAACTTACAGAATTTGGGGATAAATCGTTAGAAGATTGTTAATCTCATCTGTAAGTATTTGATGTCAACAAAATACTATATTAAAATAATTTGATAAAGCTAACATATCCTAAACATGATAAATTCTAACTAATTTTTTTGTGTTTTGTTTACTAGCAAATGATCACAGGTATAATAGCTGTGTTTGCTAACCTGGTACGAGCCTCCTTTCTACCTGAATCTTTAGAGAACATTCCGCCGGAAGAACGTGCACAGTATGGGGTTTGGCAGAGTGCCAAACAAGACATTTCTGGAGCATGGCTTCCTATCTGTGTCCGCTACATAAGGTGTGTTGGAAGGACTGTGCAAAGTCATCTGATTACTGACAGGCTAATTCTATCTCACCAGATTTTGTAATGACCTGTATTAAAGAAGGTTAGATGAATCAATTCTGAGTACGGAAATTTAACGTTGGATACCTTCATAGCGATGAACACCCAAGTATTTCTGGAGATTCTAATATGCAGTGTACATTACAGGTGTAGGAACATATCTAATTAGACAATTCTGTCTGGTATTGGGTTGAAATATTTCAAATATTTGACCTACTGGTCAGGACTGTTGCTGTTCTGAATAATTGACAAATACCAGTTGTCTTTTCATCATTGGTATTTGGCTTCACCATTGGTTGAGCTGTGGTGAATTTTCCTGAGAATGACTGCTGAGTAACAGTGGGAAGTCTTCAAATGAAACATTGATAGTCATATAATTGAAATTAAAAACTGACCTATCAAATGCTGCTACCTTGTCTTTCTATGATCATAAAGTCAGTCAGAGTTACCATTGTAGTGATACTTGTTTTGTAAGCATGATTCAGTAGCAGTTTCCAGACTGGTCATTTTGTATCATCAGCAATGAGACTTGTATGGAGCTGTTGGTCTATGGCGATGCCTGATAGTTTTACTTGGTTGTGTCACCTCCGACTTTTGGTTTATACCTCTACATGTCTATTCTATATTACATCTGTCATATTGTGTTGAGTAATAGATATTTTTTTTATATTTACAGAAACTGTGTGAGTTCCTTGACACAGTTAGATCTGCCTGGAGATTCGCCAAGTCTGGTCACTGATTTGGCATTGGATATGAGGACTAACTGTATGCTTACACTGCTGAAACAGGCCATCGCAGGTAGGATCTTCTCACTTCATTTATTGTGACTTCATCAAGTAAACAATATCTTTCAATAAAAATTCCATGTTCATTCCATCTGAATAAACGAATGAAAGGACGTTTTTAAATTTCAAAATACATTTTGCATTTCAAATAATATATATTATGATTTTAATTGAATGACCGATAATGGGTATTTTTGACAATACCGGTTTGATAGCCTGTTTATCTTTGGGCATATTCCTTCATGGAACTGTTTTGAGCTTACCGAATGATTAATTCACGGCAGTTTTTTACTTATAATCACTGCTGGTCATGAACGACTGAATAGATTTTAACCAAATTCAGTCAGAAGCATCCTTGGGGGAAGTGACACTATGTTTGGGCCAGAAGATTCGCCTCAACAAAAACGTTTTGAAAGTTTTTTAAAATCCTACTCCTCCTGTAATAATAAATGGATAATGGGTGAATGGGAATCAGTTTTGTATAAAGTTAAGGTCTCAGCCCCCTTGGGGCCAGGAGGGGCCAGGAGGGGCATGGCCCTAAAGGGGAAATAGGGTCAATTCTTTACAATCGTAATCCTCCTGAATTTAGTTCTTGGTTGAAGGGGAAACAATCTGGTATAAACGTAAAGACTCGGCCCAGGGGCAGGAGAGTGGCGCTTAGTAGGGGAAATAGAGTAAATGAAATGATTGGATATTGCCCAAATTTAGTGAGTGATGCAGGCCCCTTGGGCTTCTTGTTATTTGAGTTAGCATTTACTTCTAAGCCAGTAAACCTGTTTTTCCTCTTGTTCCTCCCAGATTATCATAAGTTCTGGAATAACTTATTTACAGATTAAATGGTATTATCTCAATATTACCTCAATTAATTGTCAGTGATAATAGAATTACCTCCCCTGAATAAGACATGGTTTTATATGCTTGTTAAAAGATTTTGACAGCAAGCATCATGATATGGTGTTGTCCATCCTTCCATCTGTCTGTTGTAAACTTTCAATTGGATCTACTCCAACAGTTTTCGACCAATATTTTTCAAACTTGGTAGCTTTAATCACCTTGACATATTTTCCTGAACAACAGATAGATTTGACTGTTTTACGGAGAGTTACTGCCCCTTGTTTTTTACATATCTTGTCCAGAGATCATTCTCATTTTTGAACCAATTAATATCAATCTTGATAGACCGGATCACCCTGACATGATCATGAAGTTATTTTTTTCTTGAACAGGAATTAGATTTGGCTGTGTTTGAAATAGTTACTGCCCCCTTATTGTTTTCGTAATGTGAGTCTTGTATAGAGACATCCTCTCAGTTTTAATTCAATGTCTTTCAAACATCCGAGGCATAATTACATTGTCATGAAGTTGTGTTTTCCTTTGTTTGATTTCGCTATTTTTGACAGAGTTTCTCCTCGGTGTTGTCTTGGTATTGTTAATTGTGTCTGAAGATCTCAACTTATCTTTTCCAAACTTGATATGCTCAGTAACCTTGACATGATGTTTTCTCAAACAGCAGTTAGATTCAACAAGATTTGGAAGTCCTTTGAATTTTAGAATTTCGATTTTGTATGAAGATCTCTTTCCTCAGTTTTTCACCAAATTCTCAGAAACCTGATAAATTTTTAAAAATAATATTACATAAAATTGTGTTTTCCTTAATGGCATTGTGATTTTACATTTCTAGGAAGAGTTATTGCCCTTTGCCTTTTTACCAATTTTTTTTTAGTTTAGATCTTGTCAAGATATATCCAGATATGTCCTTCCTCAGGTTTTGATAAATTTCTTTTAAACTTGTTTTCCATCTCAGTGTTTTTACTGATTATAACCATTTCCTTAATTTAATTCTGTATTTGCTACAATAAATCACAAATATTTTCTGTGGTATGGGATGTGTGTATGTTGTTTCCTCCCCACACTACTCTTGTTCATTAACGTAAGCTGACTGATTGAAATACCTGGCCTGACAGAGCGTATCCCTTGTTTCCTCAGACGTACAGCAGCTACACACCAAGGAGACCTGGACAGTGGAGACAGATGACGAGTCTGGGGGCACTACGCAACTGGTTTGTACTGTGTATACCAACATACATTTACAGTTTAACTCCATATATATGGCATAATAACACTACATAAAATTCCACATCAAATGCTGGTTTCTGCAGTGGGGAATACTTACTTTTAAATATGATTGAAATTTTTTTTTTAAATATTAAGCAATTTAAATCAAATTCGGGAAACAACTTTGGCTCCTTATCACTTACTAATTTTCCTTTTTTATTTACATCACTACAAGTAAGTATATTTATTTACAGCAACTTTACTTATATAGAATGGTTACATAGATACATAATACAAATAACATCAATTATGTCCAGAATACTCTCCTGAACCATGATAACATCAACGACATGTATCACTCCGACCTGTATGTAACAGGGCACTTACCCTACATAGGGTACAGAAGTAGAGTAAGCTTCTCAGATATGAACAATGTCGCCTACACAAACACGTTCTACAATCTATGGAATTAAAACAGAGACTATTGTCTGCCATATACTGTTACCCAGGTAATAGAAATTAGAAAATAGAATTATTTCAAATATTCAAAACTCTATATACAGAAAAAAATGATGTCACATTATACTTATTGTGATATATACAAAACAATGAATGACCTACAATTTAGTGAAATATCATTGAAAAAAACTTACTAATTGTAACTATCGCCATATTTCATCTGAGGAAAATTGTCTTTTTCCTTCAAAATCAAACCTTGCTCTGCCTAAAAAAGATTTCAGTACCTGTTTATTATTATACTTAAATTTACTTCTCCAGATCTCAATCCGCTTAAAGGCTGAATGAAAGGCCATGACATGGTTCGTCAAAACCTTTTAGATAAATGATAAATACTTCTCCAGATGGTATTCAGCCAATCAAAATGATCCATGCTAGGTTCACTGGACAGGTCAGAGAAAGTCAAAGGTCAAGCTTTTACAATTACCTGGTATATACCAAGTATAAAACAAATGTTAATACATTTCACAAGGTCAAGTCGTAGGAAATACTATCAGACATAGCATAATTATAGATTAAACATACAAATAGTTATCTGATGCCAGACATATTCAAATAACATTTGATAACTCCATCATGTTTGTAGGTAGGAAATATATCTCTGATATTAGGTCAGAACAGGCTGACATAGTTAAATCACATTACATAAAATTTCAAAATATACCCACTAACAGGAAGCAGACCTAAGACAGGGCCAGTGTGGGTAACATTTAATGATGAAGTAATGATTAAGAATAAACTTTATTTATTTTACAACAATTGCAAAACAAGTTTTTCCAACTTATATTAATCACTCTTGTTGGCTCGGATGGAAGCATACAAGGGGTCTTACTGTGGGATGAAACCTGAGTACCCAGGGAAAACCCACATTGTTGGGCAGGTGACTCCCATACAATTTCACATTCATTCCCGAAATCGAACCCCGGACGGCTAGGTTAAAGGCGAGTGTGTTACCACTGCGCTACCCGACCACCCATTTAGGAGGAAATATTTGGCCTAACTTTCCAAGTTGAATACAAAACATAGTGTAACCCTGGTAAAATAACAGCCGCAATATACCACTCGGCTAGAGAGAACTTCTCTTTAGCTCAATTGGTTGAGCGTCAGACTAGTAAGCCAGGGGTTCCGGGTTCGATTCCTAGCAGAGGCATTAAAATGAATAATGACCTGTCTTACACATAGTACAATTCAGAAATGAAGAGAGAAAGGGAACAGAGCCTTCAAAAAAAAGGAGAATTGATTTAAATGATACGTTTTGTCTGATTATACAGATAATTTGTGATTTTACAAATGTTTGTTTATTGTTTGGCAGCCGGCATTATTTGAGAACATTGTGAACGAAACCATTCAGCATCTACATGAAGTTGTAGTCCAGAACAAACCAGGAGAACCAGAAGTAAGACTTTCTCTCTCTTACAAGTGTATAGACTAGAATCACAGGATGTTGATATCACAGCCTGAAACTGAAATATCTTGGACCGATGCCCTGTCAAGTGAGGATGGAGGCTGTAATATTGAAATAGACATTCATAATTTTTCTATCACACATTTTAGAAGCAAATCAAAAAGCACAGTTTAATGATATAATAATCTTGTTGAAAAAATTGTAATGCAGAACTGTTAGATGTTGAATGTGACATTTACAGAAGTGTATAAGCATATAGATAATGTCTGGGTCCCAGAAGGAATGTAGCCCAGGAATTGATACAACATTGTGAACAGTATTTGTATGACAAGGTCAATATCAGAGATAAAAGTGTGATTAACTCATAGGTTACTTACAGTAATCTTTGTTTCAGCCTTCTATCTAAGTCATCACATCAGTTGGTTGTTATCACTGTCCCGGATAAAACCTTGTGTTGACCTCATCAGTACTCAGTAACTGAATTATATTTATTTTCATCTTTTAGATATTCAGCCAAAGAACTGTGCAGAAAGATGCTACCATACTGTGTACTCAGCTGTTACAGGCTTTCGCGCCCTGTCTCAATTGTCTGGCTTTCACCCCTCCACCTGTCACTAATAATAAGTAAGTCTGCCGTCTCCACAGTTTCATTCCTCAACCTGTTACTGTCAGTGTTAAGCTTGTCTGGCCCAAACAGCCAAATGAGCTTTTGGCATGACACACCACTCAAAGTCTGTCACAGTCTGTTGCCTTTCCATTCATCAACTCTTTCCTATAAAGTACTGAATAGATTTTTGGTTAAAAGCATCCTTGTTCTATGTCTAAATGCAGTCTGGGGCATCCTTGGGTAAAGGTTTCAGTTTTGTAGAAACGATTGTCAGAGTGGCTGAATTCAAGAAAGGAAATGAAGAAAGAACTTTGACGAGATTTAATCTGAAGTATAAACAAAGGGTCCAAACAATGGAAAGATGGTATTGTGAAGCAAGCAGACTGTAATCCATGTTGATAGAAATCAGTAAATCTTTAGGAGTTACAGTAATGTTGGTAGAAATAAGTAAATCTTTAGGAGTTACATTAATGTTGGTAGAAATAAGTAAATCTTTAGGAGTTACATTAATGTTGGTAGAAATAAGTAAATCTTTAGGAGTTACATTAATGAAGAAAACAAGCATTCATCATGGTGAATATTTTTGATCTTGTCAGAGAAATACATTTTCACAATTATTATTAAAATGACAGAGAAGCATACCAATTATTGAAATATCAAAAATTTTGGGATTTTTGTGTCAAGATACAAATTATTTACTGTTACAGAACGCTGAGTCGGCCAAACAGATCTTCTGACCCCAACAGTGATGTCAGTGAGGAGGGAGTTCTACCATTGGTCAGTACTGGTACATTAGTTCATTTCACATCTGTTAATGTTGTTATTTATATAGCTGACACGGATCTATGACAACAAGCTGATGGTACAGCTATATAGCTGACACAGATCTATGATGACAGACTGATGGTACAGCTATATAGCTGACACAGATCTATGACAGCAGGCTGATGGTACAGCTATATAGCTGACACAGATCTATGACAGCAGGCTGATGTTACAGCTATATAGCTGACACAGATCTATGATGACAGACTGATGGTACAGCTATATAGCTGACACAGATCTATGATGACAGACTGATGGTAAAGCTATATAGCTGACACAGATCTATGACAGCAGGCTGATGGTACAGCTATATAGCTGACACAGATCTATGATGACAGACTGGTGGTATAGCTATATAGCTGACACAGATCTATGATGACAGACTGATGGTACAGCTATATAGCTGACACAGATCTATGATGACAGACTGATGGTACAACTATATAGCTGACACAGATCTATGACGACAGACTGATGGTACAGCTATATAGCTGACACAGATCTATGACAGCAGGCTGATGGTACAGCTATATAGCTGACACAGATCTATGATGACAGACTGATGGTACAGCTATATAGCTGACACAGATCTATGATGACAGACTGATGGTACAGCTATATAGCAGACACAGATCTATGATGACAGACTGATGGTACAGCTATATAGCTGACACAGATCTATGACAGCAGACTGATGGTACAGCTATATAGCTGACACAGATCTATGACAGCAGGCTGATGGTACAGCTATATAGCTGACACAGATCTATGACAGCAGGCTGATGGTACAGCTATATAGCTGACACAGATCTATGATGACAGACTGATGGTACAGCTATATAGCTAACACAGATCTATGACAGCAGACTGATGGTACAGCTATATAGCTGTCACAGATCTATGATGACAGACTGATGGTACAGTTATATAGCTGACACAGCTCTATGATGACAGACTGATGGTACAGCTATATAGCTAACACAAATCTATGACAGCAGGCTGATGGTACAGCTATATAGCTGTCACAGATCTATGATGACAGACTGATGGTACAGCTATATAGCTAACACAAATCTATGACAGCAGGCTGATGGTACAGCTATATAGCTGTTACAGATCTATGATGACAGACTTATGGTACAGCTATATAGCTGACACAGATCTATGACAGCAGGCTGATGGTACAGCTATATAGCTGACACAGATCTATGACAGCAGACTGATGGTACAGCTATATAGCTGACACAGATCTATGACAGCAGGCTGATGGTACAGCTATATAGCTGACACAGATCTATGACAGCAGGCTGATGGTACAGCTATATAGCTGACACAGATCTATGATGACAGACTGATGGTACAGCTATATAGCTGACACAGATCTATGACAGCAGGCTGATGGTACAGCTATATAGCTGACACAGATCTATGACAGCAGACTGATGGTACAGCTATATAGCTGACACAGATCTATGATGACAGACTGATGGTACAGCTATATAGCTGACACAGATCTATGACAGCAGACTGATGGTACAGCTATATAGCTGACACAGATCTATGATGACAGACTGATGGTACAGCTATATAGCTGACACAGATCTATGATGACAGACTGATGGTACAGCTATATAGCTGACACAGATCTATGACAGCAGGCTGATGGTACAGCTATATAGCTGTCACAGATCTATGATGACAGACTGATGGTACAGCTATATAGCTGACACATATCTATGACAGCAGGCTGATGGTACAGCTATATAGCTGACACAGATCTATGATGACAGACTGATGGTACAGCTATATAGCTGACACAGATCTATGATGACAGACTGATGGTACAGCTATATAGCTGACACAGATCTATGACAGCAGGCTGATGGTACAGCTATATAGCTGACACAGATCTATGACAGCAGGCTGATGGTACAGCTATATAGCTGACACAGATCTATGACAGCAGGCTGATGGTACAGCTATATAGCTGACACAGATCTATGATGACAGACTGATGGTACAGCTATATAGCTAACACAGATCTATGACAACAGACTTATGGTACAGCTATATAGCTAACACAAATCTATGACAGCAGGCTGATGGTACAGCTATATAGCTGTTACAGATCTATGATGACAGACTTATGGTACAGCTATATAGCTGACACAGATCTATGACAGCAGGCTGATGGTACAGCTATATAGCTGACACAGATCTATGACAGCAGACTGATGGTACAGCTATATAGCTGACACAGATCTATGACAGCAGGCTGATGGTACAGCTATATAGCTGACACAGATCTATGACAGCAGGCTGATGGTACAGCTATATAGCTGACACAGATCTATGATGACAGACTGATGGTACAGCTATATAGCTGACACAGATCTATGACAGCAGGCTGATGGTACAGCTATATAGCTGACACAGATCTATGACAGCAGACTGATGGTACAGCTATATAGCTGACACAGATCTATGATGACAGACTGATGGTACAGCTATATAGCTGACACAGATCTATGACAGCAGACTGATGGTACAGCTATATAGCTGACACAGATCTATGATGACAGACTGATGGTACAGCTATATAGCTAACACAGATCTATGACAACAGACTTATGGTACAGCTATATAGCTGACACAGATCTATGACAGCAGGCTGATGGTACAGCTATATAGCTGACACAGATCTATGATGACAGACTGATGGTTCAGCTATATAGCTGACACAGATCTATGATGACAGACTGATGGTACAGCTATATAGCTGACACAGATCTATGACAGCAGGCTGATGGTACAGCTATATAGCTGACACAGATCTATGACAGCAGGCTGATGGTACAGCTATATAGCTGACACAGATCTATGATGACAGACTGATGGTACAGCTATATAGCTGACACAGATCTATGATGACAGACTGATGGTACAGCTATATAGCTAACATAGATCTATGATGACAGACTGATGGTACAGCTATATAGCTGACACAGATCTATGACAGCAGGCTGATGGTATTAAATACAATTTATAGAGCTCTCCTGAACTACAAAATTATATTCATGGTTACTTTACAAGGTGATATCTTAAATCTGTCAGCTGTATACAGCAAGATTTTTAGTCAGTATGACCTCATGCGCAATCTGCCATGCGTAAACTTTTTCACACTTTAGACATCACCTTAAAAACCGGTTGGCAAATTTCAGTCATATTTGGCCACAAACGTCTTTGAAGCAAGGGAGGGACTTCAAAGCTGAGAAATTTATACGTCCCCCCACAGGAAGTTAGGTGTGGGAGCAGATTTCAAAGGGGCAAAATATTCAATTATCAATTATTTCAAAATGTTTTCACCTACCATAAATGTTATCCCTAAAACATAAACCACAAAAAAATTGATGTTTTCCTTAAAATTCTATTGAAACAACCAATAAAGTGAAAATCACACATATCGATGTAGACTGTCGTACTGCTTCTGTTGAATAATCTAATTCAAACTTATAAATAGTAAGTTGACACACTTGTTCAATGCAGTTTATGTGTAGTTGTGATCTGCTATATCATCAACACATTCCTCCACAGCTCAGCACATCAACTGTCAATTTTGTCCACTTTGTACACTTACTTGGGATAATGTGCTCCAAGAAATTGTTGTGAGTAAACAATCGCACACAACAATCCTACATAACATCAGTAGCTAGGACAAAGATGTATTCTAGGTGTGGCCTATTTTCCTACAGGAAAAACATGTGAGGCTCCAAACACCTAGATATTCCCTCACACAGTTGTGTGATTATTTTTGTTTCAATAGAAATAGTATTTTGGAGAATTCTTTTACTTGTATTGTTTGGATAAACGACTTATCATCATGCTCAGCGTCTGTAGCTATACTTATATTGTTTCAGGATAAACGACTTATCATCATGCTCAGCAACTGTAGCCATACCATGGAAAGGGTTCTACCCAGACTTGTGGAAAACCTCAACAAGCTTGGCTATGTAGAAATGAATAAAGCATTGAAGGTAACTTGAAGTACATCACTGATTTGGTGGATACGTTTAAGTCAAATTAAACTGAATCTACTCAACAAATTTAACTTCAGATCTTGATTAATATCAACAGAAGCTTGGTAAGATGATCAGCTGATCATCCACAACAAAATTGACCTTGACATTTGAAACCTTGAGAAGGTGGACAATGTTTCCCTCTCATTGGTATTATGCTATTTATTTTAATGTATGGTCTGTTGATGTAGGAGTTTAGTGGTTAAATTTCATTTTCTTATATTGATTTTACCAGACAGCTGAGTTGACATATCAGGAACTCGATGATAAGCTGTTTGAGGCATATGTGGAGGAGAAATCTAACCCAATTGTAGGAACCATGGAACAGAACATGTACAGTGGCAAGTTTGATTGGAAGGCCTGTAAAAAACCATATGGTAAGTATTGTCTCATTCGTGAAAATTATGGTATTTATTGTCTCGTGTGTAAAATTCATTCGTAGATGTTATCGTGTTTAAAGAGTATTAATGGTTGGTTATAAATGCTTAAAATACTGAAAGCAACAAAATATAAAACCATACAAGAATTTGTCTGTAATATAACAATCAGTTATGTATGGTCTCATTGCATTTTCTGGTAATTATCCATTAAACTGTTGATTATGTATGGTCATTACATTGTCTGGTAATTATCCATTAAACTGTTGATTATGTATGGTCTCATTGCATTGTCTGGTAATTATCCATTAAACTGTTGATTATGTATGGTCTCATTGCATTGTCTGGTGATTATCCATTAAACTGTTGATTATGTATGGTCTCATTGCACTGTCTGGTAATTATCCATTAAACTGTTGATTATGTATGGTCTCATTACATTGTCTGGTAATTATCCATTAAACTGTTGATTATGTATGGTCTCATTGCATTGTCTGGTAAATATCCATTAAACTGTTGATTATGTATGGTCTCATTACATTGTCTGGTAATTATCCATTAAACTGTTGATTATGTATGGTCTCATTGCATTGTCTGGTAAATATCCATTAAACTGTTGATTATGTATGGTCTCATTGCATTGTCTGGTAAATATCCATTAAACTGTTGATTATGTATGGTCTCAATACTAATTATCAATTACTTTTCTGTTTTAGGCATCAGAAATTATCTGAAGGAAGTGATAATGCAGATGATAGAAGTGCATGCTGAGGTATATTTTTGATGTGTTTGTGATGACCGTGTGATTATGTACAGCTTGATTTGTTTGGTTTGATTTTTAGTTTAATTCTATATGTTGAATTTTTTGTTTTTGTTTATCCTAGTAAGGATTGATCTGTTAGCTTGTTTCCTACACATGACTTATAACATTATGTATTGCCAGGTGTTTGCTGTTTCTCCGTCTTTCGTAACAAGGGTAACAAAGAATGTGATTGAGGCTGTTGCTGAGGAGATGTCACGGCTGGTAGAATGTATCACAGAATTCTCACCTAATGGCGTACTCCAGGTATGTTACGGCCAACTGTCGTGATGGTAACAAGTATGTATATTTTAACACATGATCCTGTAATTTAGGTGAATCAGGATGTGTTATATGGAACAAATAACCAGCAAAGGAAATGGAGAGTTTTAGAGATCAAAAAGTTTGTATTTTATTTCAAAAGAGATATACATGAGACATAAGTAACTTATATGTGTGTGTTTTGTGTTTGTTACAGGCCAGACTTGAAGTGCTTGCCCTACAGGAGACAGTCCAACTCTACCAAACACCACATGCTAGGTAAGCTCTCATTGGCTTTGATTTCATTAGCGATCCCCTTACTTAATTTCTTGAAATTTCTAAAATCATTTCTATGACATGTTACAAAAATCATTGTGACTCCGGTGACCATTAGGGACCTTGGGCCTCTTGTTGTTTACTCTCTGTGTCCTCAGATGTTTTTAATGCTTATTTTAGGAGGCTAAAGCTTGTGATAGATTTCCAGTCTAGATCAAGTCTACCAGGTATATGTGATTTGTAGAAATAGGAGAAGTCAATTTTAGCATATGATAAAGATTGTTGGGTACAAGTATCAACTACGCCCTACAACACACCAATCTGCTCATCTCGTTTACCAAGTATAAATTCCATGTAACTATTTTAAGTGGTTTACTTGAAATTTTTATAGATCTCTTACAGTAGTGTGTATATGTAGGTAAATGTCACTTGGGAGACAATTTCTTTTTTAAATGGATATTTTTTATTCAAAATAGCGAGTGTTTCCAGGAAGCCTTAGACGCACTACCAGCCATCAAACAGGATGACAAGAGGTGAGTTGTATTATGAATTTTGGTGAAACACTTTTCTTTCCAGAAAAAAATTATCAGAATTTTTATCTCAAATGGACCGAAGGTAAGTTTATGCCATGATGCTTCATCCGTTTTAAGTCGACTTTTTAATAAAAAAAACACTACTAGTCATGAACAACTAAACAGATTTTGACCAAATTTGGTTAGAAACATGATTGAGAGAAAGGGAAAAGTTTGTATAAATATTGGTTCTTGGCCACCATGGGCCATAGCAGTGGGGCCCAAAAGGGAAATTTAGCAAATTCATTTAATTCCTTCAATTGATTTAAAAATATTTTATTTTTCAATATAACAAATGGAATTAGGAACAAGTGAGCACAACTCAGAAACTCCTCCCTACTCCTCCAGAACTGCTAAATTGATTTAAACGATACTTGCTGGCTATACAGAAAGTTATGCCCCTTTGGGAATATAATAATGTACCAGCTACTCCTTCTATACTACTGTGTAAATTTCAAAGAAACTTAATGGTAACAATCTTTATACATTGCAAATGTACATAATCTAAATCAGGTTGAGTTATCTCCCCTTTGTTAGAAAGTTGTGCCCCCAAAATTCTTCTCTTTTAAGGATTAACTTTAATAATTTTGTTATTTAGCCACAACAGGAAGAACAGGAGCGTACTCTCATAGATCTGTGAAGGGGTTTATATGAAGTGTATGCTCCTTTTTTTGTGTTATGGATCGATAACATAAAAAACAATTCAGATAATGCTTATGATTCTAACATTATTCAACATTTTCTTAAACCACTGCATTGACCAATCAAACATGACTTTGCAAATTGATAAGTATGTTTTCGGGTGATAACAAAAAAAATGTCAACAATGAAATTAGTTGTCTTGTATACCTAAGACTGAACTATATTTATATATAGGGGTGGGGGGTGGGAGTGGAGCTGACAACAGCTCTAGTTTCAGAAATATTTGAAATTCAACCTAATAGCTGATTTCGTCAGCTAAGCAATACAGGCCCCTTGGGCCAACAGTTTTTCTTTTCTTTTTTCTTTCTTTTCTTCATAATATCAAAAAATACCTAAGCTGATCTATAATCTTTTCAGATCATACTGAAAGTAATTTAGGATTTCATAAAATAAAATTATCTTAGCATTCACAATGGTCACATGGTATCATTATCAAGTCACCTAAAGTAAGACAGGTTATTTTTGTTTATTTTCAGAATTGTTGAGGAGTTACTGAACAAATTCAAATCTCAGATGAAAATTCAGCTGATGTGCTTCTACAGTGATAGTTTACTATTGTGACAGAAACTCGAACACGGCCTGATCAGTGAGGAATGCCATGTGTGTTACGAAGTTTAATTGAACATATTTCTGTTAGATTTATTTCAATGTTATGCAGGTTTGATTGTGTAAGAGAAGAAGAGGCTTTCAGATTGTTAACTGTTGGCTCTACTTTTGTCTAAGATTGTTACCATCAGCATGACTAACATTTTTCATACATCATTGTCATGACCAAATATGGAAGTAAGTTTCCTTTATTCCTGCAGTACTGATTATGCTTAGATTGAATGTCAGTTTAGATCTAAATAACGGTGTCCACAGAAATCCGTTAAAGATATTGGAGTTTTAGAAAGAATTTATAAAAACATCAACCATCATCATGTCTATTGCAAAACCTTTGTACTAATGTGTGAAAGTCCTACTAACTGACTGATATCTCTGGGATTTGTGTTTACACCTTTAAGTAAACCTTAGTTCTGTAAGTCGTATAAGAGAATCCTTCCTTATGTTTAAATTTCAGATCAACCCATTGTAACAAGTACATGTATTTTAGTTTTCCTTGTAAATATATTTATAACCTATATATGTAAAGTGTATCTTTCAGATACATTTTAAATTGTGTATACCATTGAAAAATTTCATCATCTCTTGTGAACTTTGCTAGTGTGTTCATCATCTCTTGTGAACTTTGCTAGTGTGTTCATCATCTCTTGTGAACTTTGCCAGTGTGTTATTGATTCTTGCATTTGTTTCTAATAGTTCATCAACCAATGGAATTCAAAAACTGAAAGCAAGTTAAAGTGATTTTGAAAAAGCTTAAGTCATTCAAAGAAAGATTTAATTAAGTTCAAGTAGGAAGGATACTTATGTAAGGTAGTAAGTTAGGTTAGAATGAATACTAGTCACTGTATGTGATGCATAATGTTCCATAATTTTACACATTTAACATTTGCTTACTGTATTTTCATTCCATGTTAAGTGCAATAAAATTAAATATATGTAAAACATCATTTCCTGTCAGTTGTGTCTTTGATAACTAGATGGACTCTTAAAATCAGTTTCCGTCAGACTGACAGATGGAGAAACAGTGACAAATGATCTGTCCATTAGTCAGTCTCTCCCTCAGTCTTAGTTGCACGTTTTGAGCTTCATGAAATATTCTAAGACAATTGACATCAGACATTTTTATGCCCCGACATTGGAATGGCGGGACATATAGTATTACCCATGTCCATTCGTCCGTCCACATTTGGTTTAGTGCCTATCAGTGTCTTTTTTGTGAGTCTTGTGCCAGATGGTGTCTTAACAAAATATTCTTTTTGTTCAGCAACTGAAGTGATGGGTTCAGTTTCTGTTTCATGGTCAGTGATCATGGCATTCTCATTACCCGAATTTTCATCTGAACTTGAAGAGTCCTGTTCTGATGATGAAGTCACTTCTTCGTTGAGGGTACCGACTCAACTGGCCACCCTTGTTTACATTCTGAAACTATGTACTTTCAGGTTGAAAGGAGATAATTGAATTAGAGTTACCACATGAAAATATATCTTCTATTTACACTGACTACTGACCTTTGACATTGAAAAGCAATCCTATGCAAACACCTTCACTTAGTAACTTTTGTGTGAAGCCGAGGTTGGTCAACCCAAGGACACTCAAACTAGTACATGTGTTATATGTAATTTGTTTTGGTGACTAAAAACATACCAGTATGTCTCCCCTTTCCAGCATTTTGACCTTTGACCTCAATATCAAGGTCAGTGACTTTTCGGTAGTGCTTTATACATCTCCCTCAGTGATAAAGACATCTTTTATGGTTTAGGAGTTAAGACCCAAACAACAGAGTATTCATGACCTTTGACCACAAGGTCAAGGTCACAGTAATGACCTTTCAGTAGTGCACTGCATATCTCCTTCAGGTGATGCAACTACAAACCAGTTTTATGAAGATATCTTTTACAGTTTAGGAGTTATGGCCTAGGCAAAATATACAAGTGTGTTCAAACATTGAGATTTTTTGAAAATATTTATAAAAATTATTCAAATCAAAGACAGATATTGTGAATTTTTGTTGATCCTACAAGAATTTGTTACCACTACAGTTAACCAATATTTCTCTCTGTATAAATTGTTGAACAAAGTTCACCTGACATAATAACACCAATGCATATACTTTTGTCCATTTGAGTTTAAAACAGAAATTTCCCGTTTCCTGATAAAAAAATTTACAGCAACAGTCACTACGAGTTTGCTCCATATACCAGTCTTCAGTAACTCATTGAGATATTGATTTAATTTATTACTTACAAAATGAAAACAAAAACATGAGTTAATATCACATGATCTATCTGGTATAAAATACATATAATAACAAGATGCCGCAAACAGGTGTTGGTATGGAACCCAAATATGCTATATATAGCACTGTAATAATTTGAGACTTCACACACTTATGTATCAGTACTTTGCAGGTGAAGGTCTATTACAGTGAAAGCACTAGTAGAAAATAAACTCGCATCTCCTCAACTTCAACATTATAGATATACATATAGAGATATAATTGAAAATATAGAATCAACTCAACAAATGTGTTTCAGTATCGTTTTCAGGCATAACAGCTATGTTCAGGCGATACAATTATTATAATGCCTTGGTAACCACAGCATGATGTTATAAACAGCATATGGCAGAAGGGGAGATAATAATTCCATTGCAGTATATCGACATTAATTTGTTAGACACATCGTACCAATCAAATATGTAACACTTTAAGAATTAAGTGGCATTTAACTGATATGTCAACTTATCTGACTATGTTTCCATGGAAACAGAGAAAAAAAAATATATAAAGTGAAATGACGGCAATAGCAAAAGGCACAAATAGGGCAACCACTTAATATGTGCAGAAAGTTTTGTGAAGTTGAGTGGAACAGTTTGGAAATTATAGCCCAGAAAAGCCCTCTTTTGGTGTTTTCCGATTATGTTTTCATGGTAACAAAAAAAAGATATAATAAGTGAAATGTCGACAATAGCAAACGGCACAACTAGGGCAATGACTTAATATATACAGAAAGTTTTGTGCAGCTGAATTTCGAAGTTATAGCCCGGAAAAGCTCTCTTTTGGTGTTTTCTATGTTTCCATGGTAACAGAAAAAATATAAAAAGTGAAATGTCGCCATTAGCAAAAGGCACAAATAGGGCATCAACTTACTATATATAGGAAGTTTTGTGAAGTTGAGATGAACGGTTTCGACCCCAATTAAATAACCCCCGCAAACGTGTTTCGCGGGGGATAAAAAGTAACATCAAATGTGTTTACAAACAAAAGGCCAACATTGTCATATGGTTTCTAATTGCTCACCTGCAATGCAGTGTAAAAAGGAAAAGCTGAAACAGTATATATATATATATATATATATATACATTGGCTCAAATTTGATAGCATCCCAGTATGCCACAGACAAAAATATCATGGGTCTTCAGATTTTCAAAATGTGAAAATGTCAAAATGTTACTTGGAATTTAGACAATTTGACCTAAATCATCTAAAAAGCAATTGAAGGTCATTTCTTTGTGGTAACAAACATGAAATGACTCCATTACAGCATGTTATGTGCAAAAGTATCTGTGTTATTGGAGATGAATAAAGATCTCAAAACTGACACAGATGGATGCCACAGCACAGTATAGTTTCATTTGTCCTTCAGGAATCAGCCAAACTAAGTCACAAAATTAATGTAACTAGAATACTGAGGCAAGAACAAATTAAACAATAAATCAACATATTTTACAACTGTTCATGAACACTATTAATAATTCTGTTTTTAAGAAAACTCAATGTTCATTCTTTATCAAAAACGTCTTCAGAACATCCCACTATATCATATCACAAATCCGGGTTATGAAACAAGCCAAGATCAGATTTACTTCAGTCTATTTTTCTGTTGCTTTACGAGCTCAGATGTTGGGGGAGGTGGTACTGGAGCAATGGTCTTCGCATCCTGTCTGGGGTCCTTTGGTGCCATAGTTGGTCCTCCCTTCATCCCAACTCGATCCGCCAAATGGTTATCCACTACAGTTTTTACAAGTCCTTCAACATGAGTGTACGACTTCTATTCCTTGACGGCATGTACAGCCCGCCTGCCAGACTTTTTGTTGAAATTTCTCTTGTATCTGCGAACAGATTGTAATACCGTTGGTTGGTAATGTTAAATCCTGAAGTTCAGAGATGAACTGTATTTTTCTATTGTTCTAGTCCTTCAGTTTAAATGCATCTTCTATGACATAACCCAGTGAACATGTACATTTCTCTACACTGAGTTAAATACTTAGATATGTGTTACCCTGATAAGTGATCTTCACTTGTTCAAAAAATACAACTCTTTACCAAGGGAGCATTATCATATGTCACAATGTAATCTATTAAAGTGTATTTTATATTCTACATCAATTTCTTTTCCAGAAGTGCTGGTGCAATACTGATCTGAGTCCTTGCCGATTGCCAGATCTTATAGCATGTATAGCATTACAAGGCTCATTGTTCTAAATATTGTAAAATTTTGCTCAATTTCATATGGCACAAAGTTCTACAGCTGCAAATCAAATCAGAAGATACCTTATTGTGCCGTCTTTATTTCTTTTTATGTCTCTGTCCACATTTTCATTATAGTCCAGAGCAGCCATAAGGATACTGGCATGGTAGACAGGTGGCACATACGAGTATCGCTTGGCACAATACATCAAAACAAGCCGATAAAAATTTCAAGCTCTGAAGTGAAAAAAAATTAGTGTGCAAATTGCAAACCATGACTTCAGGTCAAAATTTCTTACAATAGATGTACATAAACAAGAATTTCATAGAAAAGTGTGGTGTGCCTAGGACAAAAATCTATTTATACTAACATTGACCTTGACCTTTGTCATTGACCGTTGACCTTTGAACATTAAAAGCAATCCCAAGCAGGCACTTTTCGTGAGGAATCACTGTAAGGAGTTTGAAGTTGATCGGCCAAAGGGAACTCAAGTTATCGTGAAAAAACCTTAGTGCAGACGCCGACATCACCATACGTATATGTCGCCTTTTGCTAGCGCGAAAAAATATATTATTACAAATCTCATTTGAAGAGTGTGCTTCATAAATTGTGGATCTGCACTCTGATTTTTAGAGCAAGTGATTTATTGCTACTTAGTTTTTGCTATTTTGAAACACCACATAATGTTTTGAAGTGTAAACCTACCTGAAGTTCAAGTAGTAAGGCACCTGACGAAGAAACCTAGTATCCAATACAATGCGTCTGAGTGCATTGTGAGCTGCACTTCCCTTTTCTAACCATTCCTGGTCTCGGTCTGCTTCGGCTATTTGTCCGTGACTGCATGACCAAAGCCTGAATTTGCCATAAGCCAAAGCCCACTTATGTTTGTTAACACAATGGTGCAGAGTAGCTCCCCATATTTCCTGAAGAATGTGGCAAGTATTAGGCGTACACTATCAGTTATCAATTCGTGATTTTTTTTAGAAAAGGAGTTTCATAAATTTCTTTCTCAATTAAAGATATAGCTTAATAACAGTATATTTTGTTTTAATTTTCCCCTTAATGATAGCTTTCCACAAACTAATACACCTGCAATCAAATGGGAGACATGATTTATTAGTACTTAGATTGAATACTATAAAATTTCTCAGCAGGAACTTACCCATGTGAGGTAGACAGCAGATCCTTTTTGGGATTGAATTATTTCTACTGATTCTTTGCAATTTTTCATGTTGCATTTTACATCTATTTTGGTTTGAGCTAGTGCTGTAAGCCTATCCATATACATTATGCATGTAGAATCCTTTGTCAAATGGAAACAGGACTCCTAAACCAACACTCTCCATCATCAAATCATCATCATCGTCATCTCCGCTCTTTTCTGCTCCAAATTCTAGGTCTGCCAGTGACGCATTTCCCAGCTGTTCTGTGTTTTTAGGTCTGCTACAAAAAGATTATGGGATTACCAAGTAAGATCT